ATCTGCAGTAGACGGGATCAGCACTTATACCCAATGGCTCCCCACACCTTGATGCCAGGCGTTTGTGCAGTATGACGCTGGATGCTGTGGGAGCAGACGTTCCCCTCTGAACACGTCATGCCTGACGCGTACTTTTCCATCATTGTACTCCAGATTGTAGTGAGATTCATCGGAGAAAACAACTTGCTGCCACAGGACACGTCATTGTGTTGCCTTGTCCATTGAAGTCGGAAGCGTTTGTGATTCTGCGACAGCGGAATCCTGCGTAGAGGAAAGCTTGCACGCAGTTCATGCTGCAGCAGACGGCGACAAACCGTGGAGCTAGACAATACAATACCTGTAACCGTGCTCCAACGTTGCGCTAACACACGAGAGGACGCTGTACGAGCCGTCCCACATATGTGGATGAGGTGTCTGTCGCCCCGTGCTGCTGTGCTATTGTGTGTCCCGCTACCAGGATTTCGCCTTGTTTGGTTCTTCTCTGTCCATTTTTTCAAAACACGGATCACTGTTGTGGCATTAGGCTGTATGCGGGCTGCGATTGCATACTTTGCTCGATATGAATGTCCACCCTCTCGCACGCCGACGTTGCGGCCTCATACGAACTCCGTTAGTTGTTGGTATGGCACCCTCCACTGCTGACGAGGCATACTGTCCACTACTTAGCTCATCGCAGACAGAGGAGGATAAACAGATTTCAGTGCAACTTTGCAGTCTTTTATATACATGGAACAAGAACCATTTTTCATTCCACGCATTCCATTTGTAATTCTAATCATTTGCATGTCTTACCCCACTTTTACCTTACCTCACATTTCCTATAAGTTTGGTTCAGTTTGCATTATTCCTTCATGGTGTTGCAGTTTTTACAAACATTAGAGTATATTTTGTAGAACTTTTAAACACATTTTTGATTAAAATTTCAACGATTTCAAAGCAAGCAGTGCCAATACTGTGCAGAATAAAACACTTTTATCTCCAGCGCGCGAGACTGTCAATCAGAAATTCTAAAGGTATGTTGCTTTTAAATATTTTTAGCCCAAAAGCTCTCGAAACGCATATGTGTGTGTGTGTAAATAAAAAAAGCGCCCTTTTGGGTATAATATAAAATCTGAAAGCCTTTTTTTTTTCTTGCGTCATACAGTTGGCCTTTAAAATTCTTCCCACCTACAAAAACACGCACACCTGAAAGAAGTTAAATTACTCTAGATGAGTTCTTGAGAGTTTCTGACTTTATTAGATAACCTATTTATTATTAAAAAAAAGAAAAACACTCTTTCTTATTTTTTAAACTATGCCAATACTTTAAATGAAATTATGTTGTTTTATGTACATTTAGGGTTCGAATCGGAAACCTGTGACTGAAATTCAAAGTTGGATCGGTAGGACTCCCAAGCAACATTTTAGGTAAGTAAACTTCACTTTTACACTGAAAATAATTCTGCAGAAATTTGATTTCAGATACCTTTCTGTCTGATCAATATTTCAGTCTGATTTAACATTGCTTTTTAGTTACGACGTGACGATAGACGATGCGTATACCTTCAACTGGGCGTTCCAAAAGGTTACGATAGGTGATAACATAACCTCGGAAGGTGTGGCAAATGATGTGGCCAAAATTTATGACATCACAGTGCTGAACACGGTCTCTGGAGGTGCTTCTGAGTGCCAACCGTGTCCGCAAGGAACTGAATCGCAAGGGTAAGGTTCTTTTCCCCTCTGATCCAATTGCCATATTACATCATGACGTTGAGGTGTACTATTTATGTTTATTAGTCCAAAACATTTGTCTGTTATCGTTTAGGTGACATATAGTAACTCATGGAAGATCTAGAATTTTCTTTTTTATAAAACACTTAGTTTAAAATACAAGAATAGCATGTACGGTTTGATGCAATGCCCCTTCAATGCTTGCAACCTCTTAAAGTTTCTCACGTTTTTTTTTTCATTATTTACTAATTAATGATCTTGTTTTAAATTGGCAAAATAGTTTGAATTTAATTCCTCATAAAATTGCGTTGGAAGCAATGATATATTTGGAATAGCATCGGTTTCTAGAATGGATTTAAATGCTTAAGTTTCATGCTTGTTGCAGTACTTTCATCTGTAACTCTGTATTTGTTGGTATTAACATTATGAATTTCGTTTTGCTTTGGAGTAACTTTATTTTAAGCTAATTTTTCGCTAATTGAAGGGGAACTTCTCTTATTTTGATTGTAGTCTTAGACCAGGGAAGGCCAACCTTATGCATACCATACACCAGTTTTTGGCAGACGAGTCCAGATACGCTATATAACTCGAGCACATTTTACACCGTCTTACGTTCATGTTTCTATACTTATATGATTCTAATTAAATTGATTGCCTTTGGCAACTAGAATACTATTCGTTGACTTCTTAAAACTGACAGAACAAGTCCAATGAAGGATTAAATTACCCTTTTATTTTGCTCAGAATATTTATAATTGGCCTTTCTCGGGCTTACAGGAAAAGCCCCCACTTGGGCTTTAACTTAAGGTAGAAAATAGCAAATTGAACGAATGTTAACTAACTAGCCGCAGCTGTACAGAAATAACTAACCGAGTTGGCCCTTAATTAAACCTCACCGGCGAATACTAATAGGCACGTAAGATTACGGCCGAACGTAGTAAGATAGGCTTAAAGTAACGACATGGCTCGAAGGCAGAATACTTTGTGCTGAGAATTTTTGAGCTCTTCTACTGAAGTGACGGACACATCAACTTAAATAGATTGACCTTGTTTACATAAAACGCAATCCTGAAAACTCAGTCTAACGGGGAATTATAGGTGGGAAATAAGAAATTGAAGGAAAGCATGTTTAAAAATAAAAATAACTAGTAGTAGTAGTAGTAGTAACGGAGGACGTGGTCACCATCCCTCTACCGTTACGGTTAATCGGTTCTGCCCACGTTCGCCCGTGTCTAGTATTTATTAATAATTTTAAAAATTTTACATTGCCATATATTGTGGCTGATTTACAAATAAAGTTTATACAATAATTGTATTCACATTATTAACATAACTTATTACACAAATTTTGATTGGAGAATTTTCTCTAATGAATTTCTTACTTTTGTAATTTCTCTTTATTTTTATAATTATATATATTATATATATTTATTATATATTTAATATATTTATATATTATATTATAATATATATAATATATATATTATATATATTATATATTATATATATTTAGATAATTATATATATTTATATATTATTATATATTGTTTATATTTTTATTTCGTCATAGTAAAGTTTCTCTTTTGTTATTTGTACCATTTCAACTAGAATGTTGTCTAACTCCTCTTGCAAACTTCCTTTCATTTTGCTGCAGTTCTTTCATGAGTTTCTCAATTTCAAGGTTTCTATTGTATTCCTCATATTATACCTTATATATTGTGCTAATGTCTTCCAGAATAGCACTTTTTATTTCAAAAGTTTTTCGTCTATTCCTTTTGTATGTCACTGAATCCTATCTGTCTTTGATCACACCGAATCAACATGGGTATGCTTTCTTGTAACTTGATTTTCAGGTTTATAATATTTTTATGACAATTTAACTATGAATGCGCCTTGCCTTCATAATCGCGAAACGTCAGTATTTATTGATCGTAATTTGAATATATGTGCATTTTAAATGTAATATGTATGATAGATACTTTTTGCTAGAAATGAATTACTTTTTCAAATTATGAGCACTGATGTTATTTGCTTTACTCTGTTATAGATTGCACTTACTTTACTTCTTTATTTATTATACTATTATGTCTTTTTTATATAACTTGTTATATGAAATTATATTACTTGACATAAATCTGTGCCCAATTTTGCTAGGATGTCCATTGTTTTTGTGATTTTTTGCACGGTGTATTTTTGTTTTACTAAGAATTTACTAAAAGCTTGAATATTTGTTGTTGACATTTTAATATGAAAATCTTTAGTGAATGGGCATTGTAATATGAAAATCTTTAGTGATATTTAGTAATGTAATATTCAGGCATTCCCAGCTGGCCACAAATACAGGTACTCGTGTCTGAAATACCAAACCTTTCGAAATATTCGGGGAAAGGTCCGTGGCCTGAAACAAAGCGCACTAATTGTGGGTTTACCTTGGCAAAGTGTCTTACTCGTTTAACTATTATTCCATTCGTAATAATAACTATTAGGAAATTACAAGCATGAAAGTTTTTCTACAGTGGCGTAGCTAGGGTGGGGCAAGGGGGACATCTGTACCCGGGCGCAGCATCTGTGGGGCGCAAAATTGATGCTACAAATTTTAGAATGTAAATGTTTTTCATTCTCGGAAGGCAGGAAAGGGGAGCAAAATCCTTAGTTGTCCCCGCGCGGCTGAAAATTCTAGCTACGCCTCTGTTTTTCTAAGAAACTTATGAGATTAGCTAGTTCTAAGCACTGACTCTCAGCCCCATGAGGGAACAGGCCAATCCAACAACAAACGAACGTTAAATAACGAAACATAACAAAATAAATGGTTAAATAACGGAACATAACAAACTTAATAAACATCTGGTGATAGGTTCATTTAGTGGCGCCATCTATCGATCTGTAAAATAACCACACAGTTAAATCAGGTAGATCGCCTATTGGGAGACCAAAAACTCCAAGCTGGTAAGTCTTACAAGAAAGTATAACTTTTGTAATTTGGAACGTTTCATTCTTAGACATTAGAAACAGAACATTTTCAAATTAGCCGACATATTATACGGATGTAGCGGTAAATTTTATTGAAATCGTAAAATATAAGTGATTTGGATTTTTTCAGAGACTTCCACGTTTATGTTGCAAGCGCATTAATTTATACTACAATCTGAACACACGATTTTTGTAATACTTTTAGAAATAATGCTATTGAAGTTAATAATAATTCTATTTTTCGAAAGATATCTTAGTAGTAATACGTTCTTGCTATCTAATTAGCAACTCTACTTGATCCTAATAATTTACATATGGCAGAATATTTAACTATACATCTTCTTTATCTTTCAGGGTCTTGTATCGCTGCATTCCCTGTCCTGCCGGCCATTACTTGAAAGATTCAGAGAACCTGGAATGCTTTCCTTGCCCCTACAACACGTATTTGTGGAAAGCATTGCCTCAAGGACCAGAATCTTGCAAATCTTGTGGTCCGGGCCTGAGGAGTGAAGATGGACAAAGATGCTACAGCGACTGCAGAGTCTATTTATTTGACGGAACTTTCTTCGATTTGACCACTTTGCCCATGTACGTACATCTGCTATTGAGTATTTTCATAACAAAATACAGGGCCTAGCATAAATGATTCATTCATTTTGAAAAGGCTGTATTTTCAAACGTATTTCCTGTACACACATGGAAGAGATATGAAAAGAACCACAAACTCACCAAGCTTATATATCCTCGACAAATATTCAGTATATGGCCCTTTGGTGACACGACACACGTCCAGATGATAATCGAGCTCATTACATATATTTTGTAGCACTGTTGTCCAGATGTTCGTCCTATCAGTTGACTAGATGTTCGGAATACCGCAAAAAACTTTGTGGATTTTGCACCAACGGCTGCATTTCAAACCATACCGTGTGTAGCAGCTACTACAGTCGGAGGATTTCGTCCGTCGACTAGATTTATGCATCAACATGCAGGAAGCGCTAGAGGAAGAAGATTTCACCACCAGGTTGATATTCAGCGATGAAACAACGTTCCACTTATCCGAAAGTGAATTAGTGAAAAAAAATTAATGAGTTTGTACTTCTTTTCGTATATTTTTCATGTGTGTACAAGTAATACTTTTGAAAATATAGCCTGTTCAAAATGAATGAATCATTTATGCTAGCCCTGTATAACGAATTTTCGGAATCACTAACCATTGCCATTCAGTAGTAATTTCTGAAATTTTAAATGAACGATAGTTTTGAGAATATTTTTATAATACTCTTTTCAAACCTCTCAATAAAAACAGCGTTCTCGTGGACACTTTTATTAATAGCTACTAATGTTGTCAGGACTTGTGTTTCTCTTGATTTGCTTTGGAAACATAAATGATCCTGAATAGGAACAGGGAGCTTACTCAAGCTATGTTCAAGAAAGCGTGAAGTAGACAACACAAGCAGGAAGGGTATACGAAACCCTTTATTTTCAATACTTTACAGGTATTTCCGAACTTCGGAATACAGAGACCAACCACTTGTGGTCTGAACGTAAGAATATAAAAACTACTAACTAAAACTCTAACTAAAAGCTAACTTTGAATTAGTATACAAATGCCTAGCACTAAGACTGGCCTTTATTTAAAAAAGGTACGTATGTAGTACGCCGAGCTGCTAAAACTATGATACGTCTGCAAATATCAAGAGGGCTAAACCTCTGGCCTTAAAGGCAACCAGCAACCGAGTGAAAACTCTTAAAATTGCAGTGGCAAGCGGCTTGCTTTCTAAAACTCCTCTCTCCCGCTTGGCAAAAAGCCACAATTTAAGTACTTGGGCGTTAGCAAGACAATTTGCATAAACAAGTTAAAGCATTTAATTCTGGCCGGAAGTAGAAAATAAGAAGTGATAGTATAGTTTTAAAATAAAATAAACGTTAGTAAAACTTAGGATCCTTACAATGTTAGAGATCGAAATTCGTTGGATCTGTTAATTAGTTGTTTTTTACTTCGTTAATTATCGAAAGTGGCCGAATAAAAGACATTGTACCTAAGGACATTTTAGTGAATTTAAATTTGAGAAGTTCAATAGGAATTAATATAACATAGCATTTGTATATGAAATTATGTTTCTTATTGCATGAGGAAAAACAGTTTGAAAAACATTTATACCCGCATCTGCCTCAATAGCTTCAAAAACATAGATTTAAAAGTAATCTAGAAAGTTTTAAATATATACTTGTATCCTATGTTTTGTACAAATCATCCAAATATGTTTTCTGGGTAATGAAAGAGAAGATAAGTAAAATAAAACACACTTTTTTATATTGATCTCAAAAAGGTTTGAACAGTTTATCAAACAACTGAGACTGATACGATATTTAAACATGAGTTATACAACACAAATTCTGCTCTGCGTTTTCATTCTACCGAGGTGATTAACGTTCCAATTCATTGTAACAATAAAATTTTTAAACTCGTTAAATATAATCAACTAACATTAAATTCGAAATTTATCTCATCGTTTAATTACTCTTCACTACTCGTTTTAATCGTTCGCAACTGAGCTACACGCCGACGGTAAAACGCTAACTGGTATTCGTCCGGGCGAATCCCGCGAACGGGCTGGCTGCATGGGCGTTTTTCGTGGTTTTCCCCATGTGTAACGTGCATACGAGCCAGTTTCCCTTAGAAAGTCCTCCACGAAGGCATCCCTCCCTTTAGGCAGATAGCCCTCGTGTGCTTTGCCATAATTGAATAATCCCACAATCGTTTCTACAACCACTTTTACTTCGTTCAGGAATAAAAGTTGATAACCGAGTCACAAGAGGCCAGGAAAGGTAGCACATGACTTTAAGACTTATCATGGCCGCCATAAAACCTACAGGTGAGACTAATAAACATATTGTTAAATAAAATTGCACTGAATTTGAAAGCAAATATGAACGTCCGTAGGCTTAGAACAGTGTTTTAGGCATAATTTGCTTAGGCATAATGAACCATTGAAACTCCCAGTGATCTTCCAGATTTTACCATACAACATTTGGGTTATTGTTACCATTTACGCATTTTTATGTACCTAGATTTTATTAAATTTGAAGGAGTTATTTGAAATCCTTGTGACTTTTCTATATGCTAATTAGAAAATCATCTATGTTAAGGATTAAAATTAGAACGTTCGAACGATAAAGACGTAGACAACGCCGATTAGAATGTAAACAAAACCAATCATAATGAATTCCGTTTATGGTAGTGGCCACGATGAGAGGTGACGACATACAGTGACTTTTCCTGACTTCGTCCCGTGGGAGGCTTTTAAACCTTCTTGTTCATTACTGCTACATATACCACTACTATTGTACACCTACTTCATTTTAAATTCATTATATTTATTCTGCTAATTTAAAATTAGTAGGTTTGATCAATTAGGCAATGCATGCCAATAGGGTGTTCCTTAGTGAGCAGCGGTTTTGTGCAAGGAAGATGCCAGCTGTTTCGACTGTTTCATAAACTTGTGCCTATAATATAAACTAGAAGGCTTGTTTTCTCTCTGTAAGATCCAGCCGTGTCCGATGCCGTAATTAATAGACTCAGGTTTATCTTTTAATTTATTCACACCATCAACGTAAACTATATACACTTTGCACAAATAGAAATATATAAAATAATATAATTGTTAAATTTATAAAATCACCACACTGAGCATTCGGCCTCTCCCACAGAAAGCCAGTCTCCAACTTAATTGATAATAAATAACGTTTTTCCGCCTAGAGGGCGCTACTTATTTTCAGGGTTACAGTTTCGGAGGACTAGGCACTACACTCTCCATCAATCCAGGCAACAAACAGCTCTTATAGACTCTTCTTAACTTTGTTAATTACTGTTGTATGCGTGTTGTTTATTGCTTTCTAGTCATTTGGTTCCCGAGGAACCAGTAAAGTTTTCTTCGGTGATTGAAATCTTCTTACTTTTCCCTTTCAGGTACACGGAGGTGAGAGGCAGTACCCTCTTCACAGCTAGTGGTACTCAGTATTTCCACGTATTCAATATTTCTCTCTGTGGCCAGAGTGGAAAACCAGTCGCAGTCTGCAAGAACAATGTCACTTACCATGTAAGGGTACCATCTTATACTGCTTGCGCTTCTAAAGAATTATAATTATTACTTTTGGAATGTTATGAATTTTCCTTGTTGAGCAATAAATCGCATTATTTAAGATATGGTTGGAAAAATGTTAATAACGTGAGTTGCATGTAAAGAAACGCAGCTGACTTCAGCAAAAGCTATATAACTTTCATTCATTTGCTACAATACAAAAACTGCTCTGTGTTTTCATTCTACCGAGGTCTTAAATCATAGTAATAACAATTTTTTTTTAATTCAGTGCACTTACGTACGTGTGTATAAGAAATATAGTAGAAGACAGAAATATAAACACGCGTGTATTCAACTTTCATCAGTCCTTCCTCCTCCCCCCTCATACACTCACGTTTGTGAAAATTGCAACACCATGAAGGACTTACGCGAGTGAGCTGAAATTTTCAGGAAATGCAAAGTAGCGCATGATATGCAACTGATTAGAATTGCAAATCCGTAGCGCATGCGTATGCTGAGCAGCGCCCTCTGAACGGCTGATGGATCCGAATAAATAGACGGCTGTAGCGAGGCGTGTATGGTTATCGGTGGTTATCTGCTAGTGGTAAACGTTAACTCAATCTGTACTTATGCCTCGTCGACGAAAGAGAGCGAGATTTGAACAACTTACAGAGTTTGAACGAGGGAGAATCATCGGCCTTCGTGAAGCTGGATTGTCGTATCGTGCAGTAGCCTCTCGTGTGCAGCGTAACAGCAGCACAGTGATGCGCGTTTGGAAGCAGTGGACGGACGAGTGTCGGACAACTCGGAAATCCGGGAGTGGACCCCGAAATGTGACGTCAGCTCGCGATGATAGACACCTGGTCCGCATGGCGCGGACGGACCGTACAGCTTCCTCTAGACAATTGGCAGCACTGTGGTCAATAGCTACAGGTGTTTCATTGTGTGCTTCATCAATTCGTAGACGTCTGCTGCAGTGTGGACTGCGCGCACGGACTCCTTTATACAGGATCCCCCTAACGCACGACCATCGCCGCCTGCTGCTACAATGGGCCAATCAGCATAAAGACTGGCGTGCTGATTGGCAGCATGTCGTGTTTTCTGACGAATCCCGCTTTAATTTGTGGTACCATGATGGCCGCATTCGTGTCAGACGCTATGCCGGTGAACGCCACCTTCCGGAGTGCATTATCGAACGCCACAGTGGACGAACACCCGGAGTTATGGTCTGGGGCGCCATAGCATATCATAGACGATCTCAATTGCTACGAATTGTGGGCAATCTGAACAGCAACCGGTATATCCGTGAAGTTCTACAGCCCGAAGCTGTTCCCTTCCTTCAAAGCTTGCCAGGCGCTGTATTTCAACAGGACAATGCCCGCCCTCATACTGCTCGGATTGTTAAATCCTTCTTTGCAGCGCAGCAGGTACAGCTTCTTCCTTGGCCTGCGTGCTCCCCGGATATGTCGCCAATTGAACATGTGTGGGATGTCATTGGTCGGCGTCTTGCTCGTGATCCTCGTCCTGTTGCGTCTGCAGACGAACTTTGGGTACGCGTACAAACGATATGGAATGCTCTTCCTCAGTCAGACATTCAAACTTTGTTTGACTCCATGCCACGTCATGTAGCAGCACTTATTGCGGCGCGTGGTGGCCACACAAAATACTGATTCTGATCTCTTGTTCTATTTTGTTTGCTTTGAACATTTAATCATTTATTTGTACCACTACCACTCAACTGTGTATTAAATTGCATTTAATTATGACGATTCCTTCTTGGTGTTGCAATTTTCACAAACGTGAGTGTATATACTCCTGTGGTGTAATTGAAAGATCTGTGTTTTTTTAATCATAATTGCTACATTCAATAGAGTAAGTAATAGTAATGAATAGCATTTTTCAATAGTGTTTTGTGAAGTTAGCCTGAAAGTTGTATGCAGTCTCATGTAATATCTTAGATTGTAATACTGTAACTGAGCTTGATAAGTCCTAACCTTACAACCAGTAATTTCTACCTGAACACAGGACTATCAGTGACCTCACGTAGTCGGTAATTAGCACAAGACTTGAGGAGTCTGTGAGGACTTTCTTTTCCATCCTGTGTTTGTAGTAGTATGTTCTGTCGGCCCTCCTGAGGAGGGGGTGCAGCAGCATTAGATGTCTTCTCCAAGGAGGACAATTATGCTGTGAGACAAATTTTATAGTCGCAGGGTCAGCACTCCTCTTTTGCAGCGTAAAAGTGACCCCTGAGCTAAAATATAATAGACTATAACACTAAACTAGAAGAAAAACACGCTAATGTGACAATCAAAATCGTAAAAACAACCTTGTATTTAGCGTAAGTATATTGGAACACTAAATCGATTTCGAGGGCAGCTAAAGGTCCCTCCTCATCAGAAGAAAGAAATACATAGTAAGAAGAAAATAAAGGGGAAGGAGTCTCAAAAACACGTGGTCCTTATCAGCACTGCACGTGGTTATAACACTAGACCGTCAATCTCGGAACGCCTGCAATTGTTATCTGGGCGAGTTCAATATACGCAGGTGAGAGAAATAGAAAGGAAAAGTTCCGGAATGGTTTGCAACGGAAATAATTAGATCGTGGAATGGCTTTCAGTGGATACTAGGGAAAAAAGGGGTATGCTCGCTGACTTATTCCCGAACCGTGGAAGGAGTTTCACTGCTTATTTTTATGCTCCATGTTTTATCGAACATTTTATTTAAGGACAGATTAATTTTTATCAATTTATGAAACAAAAAAAAATATTTCGTAGAGAAATACGAGTTTGCAATGTAAAATTGTATGCTTATTTAAAATTTGCTTAAAGGCATAACGTTTTGGCGAAATTACATAATTTTGTTTATTCCAATGAAATTTAATATTTATTAGAACTCTTATTACGGTAAAGTAACAGAGTATTACATGAAGTTACAATACCTAATTGTAAAGTTTTTATTTACTTAAGGTATTGTAGAAAATTGTAACTGTAAATAAAAAGAGCAGACAATCAATAAGAATAATAAATAATGCACTTACGAACGAAACGCTAGCTACCCTCACAAAGCAGGAGCCCGTTCATAGTAGGCGCTCAATCCCGGAACGAGTGTAATTTCCTATATTCAAAATCCCTTTTCCTTTCTCCTCTTAGCTCATCCCTACTTTCACGTACCATACCTACAAATCTTGGACTTTTCCGGCAAACAATAGAATTCGTTCCGGGATTGAGCGCCTACTGGTTATAACCGTATTTTTAATCAGAGTTACACTGATTATTCGAAGTTCAGATTTTGAGCATGAAGGTGCAGTTGCCCCTCGCTCCCTATTTTTAACTTCGCTATTTTTTCTTGTCCCTTGTGTTACATGTTTGATCAGATAGCCTGGCTCAGTAAAAGTAGGCGGCCAGTGTAACTCTGATTAAAAATCCGGTTATAACCACGTGCAGTGCTGATAAGGACCACCTGTTTCTGAGACTCCTTCCCCTTTAGTTTTCTTCTTACTATGTATTTCTTTCTCCTGATGAGGAGGGACCTTTAGCTGCCCTCGAAATCGATTGAGTGTTTCAATATACTTACGCTAAATACAAGGTTGTTTTTACGATTTTGATAGACTATAACACCTCTCTTTGGATCTGGTCGACTGGATCCTGTTCCTTTCCAAGTGACCATTTAAATTGGGGAGAGTATAAAAATTATCTCATTCTCTCGTATGTGCTTCGGGGTGTTAAGAATTAGCATGTTCAGGTAGCACTGGAGGATAAGTGACCGAAGACGTTAGTTGGTATATTACTTTTCCCAGCTCCAGGAAGCATAACAGTTTATGTAAGACTGACGTTATTGCATATTTCAAAGATTATTTTTTAAGTAATTGAGTTCGTGTCGAGATGATTGGATGCGAAATAATAGCATATACATGTGTGATATCACTATCTTTCATAAAGTAAAATTAGCTTATATATTCTTTTATTATCTGCTCCCATATTTATAACTTCTGTCGAGTAACTGGATGGTTCTGTGTGCTATCCGAAAACACATTTCTGATGATATCAAAGCACAAAGAACTCTACATCTCTTCTCTTACGAGAAAACGCCTTTGTATGCTATTACCGTTGGGTACAATAACATTTACCACGTACTTCTCAAAAGTAGATACTTATTACATGTTTAACCCATGATTGGCGAACATGGGTACTTAATACATATTTGCAATTTTTTTTACAAAGATAATTGCCTTATCTCCAAGATCCTATAAATACCACCAGGGACCTTAGCTCGGTGATCTTTCTGGGACCTTCAAGGCCCACTTTGTTCATTTTCACCAGATAAAACAGAATAATGAGAGATTAAAGATTCTGGGTTACTCTAAAATCAAAGTCTGGATCTTTCGGGCCTAAGGGGTAATCAAACTCTGCTTATCATATATTTGTCACCTGCTTCCTGAATATGAGTGCTTGGTAAGTATCTACCCCAGACTTCCCAAAATATTGGGACTTGAGTTGTCCCATATTTTAGTTTTCTTTTCCACGTGCTAATTCAGTTTTAGTTTATGCACTTGTTTTAATTTCAAAAACACGTCTTTAGAATAGTCGTAATGTTGTTGTTTACCTAGGCCTTGTAACTACGTGCAAGGAACAATACCGTCATAACGCGATTAAAACGTGTGCAAATACCTAAGAGGTATCTTTACAATTAAAAACACAGGTACAAGACGCATTGCGCATTTGTATAGATCCTAAATATCAAAAACTTTTATGTGCCGAAGTTCAGTTTTTTCGAGTCCCTGAAATCAGCTTTTTCATTCAGCTTTCCTTTTATCGGGTGAGAGTGATTTATTTTCACAGGTAAGTTTGCATATTATGAAACCAGTTCCTTCTTCGAGCTCCTAAATATAAGACCTTCTGTAATGACTAGCAGCGGCCGAGCCGATAAAAAGTCGCTGAGCACTGGTAGTTCAATCCGAGGCTCGAATCCCGCCGAACGGACTGGCTGCATTGTGGTTTTCTCCACGTGTAACGTGTATAAGAGCCAGTTTCCCTTCGAAAAATCTCCACTCAGGCATCCCTCTCCTTAGACAGGTAGCCCTCGAGTGCTTTGCCATAATTAAATAAACAAAACCAAACTAAAAAGGATAAAAAAAGAGTGTACTAATTTTAACTTTGTTTGTCCGTATAAAATTTCCCTCAGAAAGTCCTTCGCTGCACTTAGGCAGGTAGCCCTCGAGTGCTTTGACATAATTAAATAAACAAAACCAAACTAAAAAGGATAAAAAAAGAGTGTACTAATTTTAACTTTGTTTGTCCGTATAAAATTTCCCTCAGAAAGTCCTTCGCTGCACTTAGGCAGGTAGCCCTCGAGTGCTTTGACATAATTAAAAAAACAAAACCAAACTAAAAAGGATAAAAAAAGAGTGTACTAATTTTAACTTTGTTTGTCCGTATAAAATTTCCCTCAGAAAGTCCTTCGCTGCCCTTAGGCAGGTAGCGCTCGAGTGCTTTGACATAATTTAATAAACAAAACCAAACTGTAATGGGTAAAAAGAATTTACTAATTTTAACTTTCTTTATCCGTATAAACTTATAAGCATGACTTTGTGCATGTTTATTATTAAGAAATGTCAAGGAATCCAAACTGTCAGAGACATTTAGGGAAACAGTCTTTTCGAGTTAGCCCATACTTCGCGCCTGCTTCTTCGTTTACTTAATATAAATTGGTAAATTTCTGAAGATCACTTAGTTATTCAAATAGGACAATATGAAAAAACGAAATAACTCAAAATTGTACCTGATTATGTTAATGTAAACTCTCTTGTCACTTCTTCACATAATAATTTTCATCATATATCAACTTTATTATTGTTTTCCTCAGGGTGAGGATTTACTCATTGTTTGTCTTTTTTCTTAGTCGCTGGATCCCCAGACGGAGGAAATGGTTAACAGCTTTGTGTGTCGCGCCACAATCGTACCGTCACAAAATGGAGCTGGAAGTGTGCCACTTCTCACGCAGTCTGTCAGGTGAGACTAGAATTGCCATGTGTTTGAAAGTTTAAAAAAATGTGCTTGAATGTAACTGATATTTATTTATTTATTTCATTTTTCTTCGATGTAGCCTGGGAGACACTTTGATTGGTATCACAACCAAACACAAGCTTGGACACTTGGAAGTGGCGGAGGAATTTGTTCAGAGTATGTGTTTTGCCTTCTCTGTCCTAAGTGTCGATATAATAAAAATCAGTGATATTTTGAGTCACAAAATGAGCAAACAAAATTATTTTTAATCTGCGAATTTGAGCACGGTATCAATAACTAGACTTAAGTACAAGACATGATTTATCACACCTCTTACTAGACTTTCTGTAAATTTCTGATTAAGGGGACTTAATACAATTTGATAAAACTTTTTATCAATTTTTATGAATATTATTAAATGCTTTTGTCAGCAAAATAACTTGAAGCTCAAAAATATTTTTTCTGTAATTTTAATTAATTCTTTAAATTTTAATTAAAACATTTTTTAAATATTTAATTAAAAAAATTAATTTAAAATTCTTTTAAAAATTTTAATAATGAATAAAGTATTTTCCTTCTTCTGCTGTTTTCAATTTTTTTATTCCAATTTCTTTATTGTGCTTGTTAGAATCTTCTTTATAACTCAGAGGATCGATTCTGCAATAAATGAATTAATTTCCAAGAAAAAATATTAAAAACATATTTATATATAAAAACTTTGAACAAAATATGATTTCAAATGCATTTTCATTTCCAATAACTTTTCTTCTTAATATTTTGTAAAACTCATTCTTGTTTCTATAAAGTACTCGTATATAATAAACACGCAGTAAAATATTAAATAATTTAGTCGACATCTGTGTAGGCTGTAGGACTCAGAGTAAAAGGATTTATCGAAAAAATGCGAAATGAGAAAATGCAGTTTAAAGAATGTAAACGCTGAAAATGGTCATAAAAACATTTCCAAATACTATCTGTAAATAGTACTATTGCTTGATTTTCTTCTGCTACTATGAATTTCCACTGTAACAGTATTTGATATATCTGAAGATGTCGTTTTAACTTCCTCGTACTTTCCTTTACAGGTGCTGAAGGACAGTCTGACATACATTTCTTTTATACATCATCAGAGTAAGTATATGCTATAATCAAATTTACAATTCAGACCTCCAGCCTTAAGAACGAGTTACGTTCCGGGCGACCTTTCGTACCATATATTTGTTCATAAAAGTTTCTAAATTCGCTACGCATATCTCTTAACGATGTTTGTGAGATAAGAAGTATAAATATTATGAAATAAGCTAAGAAAGTACTAAAACAAATACCGTATTTCTTCGCCTATTTTTCCCCCTCGCGTAATTCTCCCCTAGCTTTCTAGCGCTAGGTTCTGAAACTTTTAAACGCATTCACATAATTTTCCCTCCTTCTGAGGGTTAGATTATTGGTAAATTGTATTTCCTCGTTATGGCTTCAAATCCCAGCGAGAGGTTAGCCGCATGGACGTTTTCGAGGTTTTCCCATATATAAGATGGGTATGAGCCAGATTAGCTTACAAATCCTCCATGAAGATGTCCCTTACATGAAGCAGACAGCCCTCACGTGCTTGGCGATAAAATCGAACCTAATCACAAGTTTATATACACTCAGTTGGTCTCATTGCGGTAGAAATACAACAAGATGCGGCAACTTTAGGCCTAATTTCAGCGATAACGATTAGATAACGGGGATGTGATTCTCATATGGAGTTAGAAGTTCCAAGATGAACATCACAATGCATTTATTGACGCATCAAACTTCAAGCAACAGTCGCATCATAACCCACAGCTTGGTGATCTTCTGCAGGTACATGATTTCATTTAGTAGATGCTCCGACAATGACGCCGAGGCTGGGGCAGTTCTCCCGTCAAGTCTTCTTTTGCGAAAACGCTTTTAGCACCGAAACGTCAGCGGTTATGCTTGTTGTGGTTTGGCATCAGAGCTTTCTGAAATGATAAATGGCACAGTATTATGTTCCAAGTTAACCTTGATTCTGTGCTGATGATTTTCAGTCTGGAGGTAGTTTAACAATTAGGATACTTTTTGCCTCTGTTGAACGTTAATCAGTTTGATGGCATGAAGTTATAATTGAGCAAACATCAACTTCAGTAATCGATAATTTATAATGCACATAGCAGGTACAATGATGGCACACACACTGATGGTTAGGTTTGGTTTGTTTCATTTCATTACGGCAAAGCACACGAAGGCTATCTTAAGCAGAGGGATTCCTTTATGGAAGACTTTCTGAGGGAAACTGACGTGAGAGCTATCTTGTGTGCCCATTACACATCACACTGACTGATGAAGTGTTGCAACCCCTTGTTCTACTGAATGTTCCAAACATAAGAAAATAGCATTTTCCAAAAGCATAACGATCACATACAACAAAACCAGTAGATATTTTTTGAAAAATATCAGAAATATTTCTTGGCCAGCAGATTTTCCAGATTTATTGCTACTGAGAACCTAACGGCATGCTTTGTCATGATACAAATGTTCTTCAAAACTTTTGCAATGAGTAAAATAGTGTACATATTACAATGAAATTCCCAATTGCAATTTCATGTTTGTCTTGTGGATAATTGCAACACAGTGTGCAAATTGCTATGGGACGCACATAATGAGATGTGCTAACTGTTAAGGACACGAAGTTATGATGTATCAAAGTGGACTAGTAGTATTTACTTGAACGATGAACTTAACAAAAGTGAACATAGACTAGCCTACACAACATCATATACTTTGGGCTATGGAACTATCAATTGCCTGAACTGATGTGACTGGCTTACTCTGTGGATAACTGCAAAAATAATACGGACACACATCATTAGGTGTGTAACTGATAAGAACATGAAGTTAAGATGTATTGAAGAAGACATAGGTTTAAAAACTGGTTAATATATAAGTTCCACTATCCACAACATAGATCCTATCCATGACAATGTAATTATTAATTGATCGTATATTTATTTTCATACGGCTTATTATGTAACAATTATTGTATAGATGACAGTGTCAATTTAGCATTGTAATATTACTATCATTGATTCAGTGAATGCCGCTGGCGGTGGATTGTAGATTCTTTTCCGTCGCATGGACATATAACTCTGATTGGTGTAGAACCTTAGGTCGGAGGTCCATGCGACTGCGTATCAGTATAAAATAAACCTTTAATCATTCTCACATTGTCCGCATTTCATTGCACAGCACATAATTCTGCGCTTTGTCTAGGACTGTAATATCTAGGTAACTATACTTCCCGAATTTGTTAGAAATTAAAATTACTCTTTCAAAATGCATTCCATTGCCTGTATACTAAGTTCAAGTGTTTGAAGAATTTATCCAAGGTGCTGGATTTTTGTATATGCCAATTAAAAGTCTACTTTGCTACGTAACGCATGACTTAATTGGCATTATAAGTAACTGCGGTTTTAATGGAAAAAGATAAGATGGTACATGAAAATTCGGTAACAGGGATTTTGCAAACAGAAGAAGCCATCGAATTCGTACTAAATATCTACACTTGTTGAAAAACAGCGATATTTGCATTAATTATGATCCTGTTTCAGTTCACCCTGTATATTGTGTAAATAAAAAGTTATCTAAATAGCTGCGTCATAAACGCATTTTCTGAATAATTTCTTATTTAAATACACTTTCAATTAATGTTAATATATTTCAGCAGCAGCCAAAGAAATTTATTTTTATGCCTAAAAATTCTTCCAAGTTTTCAGTGTTTATTATAGGTTTATAATAGCTATTTTTAATTTTTTACGTTACCTCTTTTGATACTATATGCACAAGAGCTCATTTCATATGAAAATATAAATTAGCTAATACGAAGAAGAGTTTAAGAACTTATAGAGAATATTAACTAGTTAATAAATGCCGGGTTTAGCTTGCACTTGTTTACAAAATGAAGTGAAATATTGCACGGATTATTTCCAGTTTCCGACCCTCTCTGCCAGATTTAGCTTGAGAGATGCCTTCATTTGATAAATTATATTTTTAACTTTTTATATTATATTCCACTATAGAATAGTTTAAGGTGAGCGTAAATCAAATTTATTATAACTTGATTTCATTCAACTTGATTTCATTCAAATGCAGCATTTAATACAGGAATCAGGATTTTTTTGTAAAACCTTTGAGTTAAATTGAATTTTGTAATATATCTGTTAAAGTTCTCTTCGTAAGTTATGGTAGTAAAAGTTTTGCGGGTTACCTATAAGTTGTCTTAAACTTTAATTAGATGTTAAACGATAACTAACCGCACTGGCATATAACCTAACAGTGTAGGGCTCGGTAAATTTATAAAGTTTGATTTTCTGTAGAAGCATAAACTCAGCACAAACTCCTAACAGACTGTGAGCAACTTATCGCTGCAACTGAAGATACAGACAGAGACCCGAGAAGGTTTAAATAAAACTTTTTTTTATTAAATCGGACTTTGATCATATATGCAAGAATCGTGTTTATAATTCAGCCAACTACTTGGGACGTTGCAAAGCAAAGAAATAGTAAATTCAAATTTCAGATGATTTAAAACTAAGTCCAGTAGCCTAGGTCTATACAAAGGATTTAACTCGAAGTTGGCTCAAAGCATCTTACCGTCGTAACAATTTAAATATCGGCAACTATAATGCAAAATCGAATAATACAATATTTCCTGAGCTAGCTAATCTATTAACGTGGTCTTGAAAGGCAGAACACGTTTTGAATTAAAGCCCCGAAACCTTCCTTTAAATACTACTAAATCTTTCTGCTTCGTTTACATTCTGGTAGGGAAGCAGAAACAAGAAGGGACAAACACACCTGGTGAAGGACCTCCCACCGAGGTCCTCATTATACGGGACCCATAAAGAGTTTGATATCCAACACCCGTGGGACTTTCGTTATCGCGGGCGAACCCCCGCAGTCCCCGTTCGGCTTTTACTAAGCATTGCCAGAACGCTTCGTTGCAAATTTTAAAACGTTGTCACCTTGCCTCCGGGCACCACTCCATTGGCAAAACCACATTGTATTAAGGTGCTCTGTCCGCTTTGTCAGTCCCCGCCACGAAAACTGAATGGGGTCAAACCCCCGGGAACTCAGTCGACAAATGAACTATGTAGCTCCACCACAGCCGAAGGAACAGACACGACAGTACCAGTACGGTTCCTGCCAAGCCTGAACCAACCTGAGCACAATACTCGGGTTCTAGTCCTGTGAAGATAATTTGTATACCCCCGTGGTTGAGACTGCCTAGGTACAGATCCTAGCCAGTACTTCCCAGGCGTTCGCCTGAGTCAACCCCCGGGGGGGACAAGAAGGGACAGTAAAGATCCCAAACATAAAATAGCTGGTTAGTGAGAAATAATCGTAATAACCCTACAAAATTAAACTAAGTATAGTTCGGTTGCCTGATCTGCGACCATGAGCGTGAACACGCATGCGCCATTCGGACCGAATTATTCTCAAAATAGGTTGGAAGGATGGGACTTTCTTTCGCTCGAACATATAAATTCTGTCTTTCCGGAGAAGAGAAGATTTTCACGTGACTTTTCACGTCGCAGCAAGTAATAACGCCCCTTTTGGACAAATCTATGTGTTTTGGCAGAATGCCAGCCAAGGTTGCGTTTGAAATGGTCGGACTATTACTTTAGCAAAAGAAGTAATAAGAATACTGTTTTCATCTCGCTGGGATCCCGTCAGGTTTCCTTGAGATCCGATACGAAACATAAACTTGCTGCCAGTTTATGTGGCATACGATGAAGAATTTAATTTCCAATTGTGCTAATATTCGGTTTATTAATCTAAAAATAAGCTATTTTACAAAAACTATATCTTTTTCAATAAAGTTTTGATGCTTTTTCTTTTACCTTTTTATATTCAAAAATGAAATACAGAAACAAGCGCTGAAACTTTTATATTGGTGGCATCTTTTAAATTATGTACATTATCGTGGCTGAACCGTTTCATCGGGGACTTTTAATTTCGAACAAGGAAGCTTCTTACACGCTGTCAAGTATAAAGTAAGCCCTAATACTTCCCAAGGTATTGCTAAGATCCATTAACTCAAATCATCAGAGATACCTTTTGCATGCCTGTCGTACAAAGATTTGAATCCCACCTTCACTTATTAAAATATTAAGTTTCGAAAGCCAGGATAGAAAAATTGAATGTTAAGCAACACATCGGATGTAGGAAAAATATTCGTCCTGATTTAACATATTATTTGCATAAGGAAAAATTTAAAGACTTTTTTGCGAGATGGTTACCTGTACATGTACAGATACTAGATAGAATGTTTTATGATGTCTTGAACAATACCGACTGTAATGATCCTGATTCACTAGCTGGCAGATGTTCCTTATGAATATCATATCGATAACCAATGTTAAGGCTTACTGAAGACTTGTGATGAGTGTCTGACAGATGTCGCGATACATGATGTTCTACAGGTGGTGAATATTACTCACGTCTTCCACAGCAAATTTAATCCTTTATGCCATATTCAGTAATATCAGTAACAGAAGTAAGAAATTAAAAATTAGAGATTAACAAGTGCTTTAATAAGAATTTTTTTCATGTAAGTTATCTATGCAATTAAAGAGCAAATGCAATTGATTTTCTTTGGCACAAAAGCTAACAACTCTTCACCATGTGAAAACAATCCTTTTTCAGAATGAATGATTATTTTGGAACGTTTTAAAATAGTGTTCATTACGAAATTGTCTTTTTTTTTTTTTTTTTTTTTTTTTTTTTTTTTTTTTTTGTTGTGTGTTCCAAAATTCAAGTCGTTTCTTCTTCTTCTTCTTCTTTTTTTAATAAAAGTTAAAAGAATACCTTCAACCCACATTTCAAATACATGTGAGGAGCTACATGCGGTAGATTACATTTTTTTTAGCGATGAACATATACCCCTACATATATGTAACTGAAATTTATCGCAAACGTATGCATATATTTATTCTAACAGAAAAAAAAAAGCATAGTTAGAATCACTCCAAAAAATTAGCGTAACTATTAATAATAAAATACGCATAATTATTAAAGTAATAAATAAATAAAATAAAATAAAAAATAGGGGGAAAGTCTGAAAGGTTTTCAGATTTTAGCTGTTTCCCAAAAGGGTTTGTTAAGGTTTTTTACGCTCTTGCTGAGCTCGGATTCTACCAATTTGCTGTTACACTCACTCCTACTAACCCTTTTTTTTTTTTTTTTTTTTTTTTTTTGTCATTTTAGTATACTTTTCTTCGCACTTATGCCATATACTATTCAACAGCAACATTACAAAAAAAAAAAAAAAGCAGCATAAAGTATACGTTTAGAATTATCGATGCAGCGTTAAGCTTTGCCATACATTTTTCTGGTTTTTTTTTTTTTTTTTAATTCTTTTCTCAGTTTATCATATCAATGTTCTGTTTTCTTACTAAGATGACTTTACAAAACTTTTTTTTTTTATCTTTTATTATTAACTTTTTCTGTGTTTACTTTATTTATTAAATATCATGGCCTTGGCACTTAACACCACATAAAATTCGATTCAGCAGCAAAGTCACAAAATATTTAAAAATAGTATATCTTTAGAATTTCTCACAAACAGTCTTGCGAGCGATAAAAATGTTTTATTCCATACAGTGTTGCCATTGCTTGCTTTGAAATCGTTGAGTTTATTAATCAAAAATTCTTTGAAGTTTTACAAAAGACAAAACAGATAGTAAAACAAATTCGAAATTCAAAATTCGGTTTTCCAAGTGCCCATGTTCAGATGGAGGACTACGTTATTCAGAATTGGATGGCACTACGTACCATTGCTTTTCCACAGAGCGAAAACCATACATACATTCATGAAAATTCTTCATTATTGAATTTCTTTAAATGTAACACTGGGCGATAATATTTGGTGGCAATAATTTTAAAAGCGAAATAATGCATTTAAGTGTTCCGACGCTGAATGACTTCGAGACTAATATATCATTCGGAACAAAGTCCCTTGGGGCTAATAATTGTAAATAAAGGTGTACAAAAATGTTAAGGAATAAAAGTAATCTCTGGCTTGACAAAAATTCGTAAATGAGACCCTTTTCTTGTAATCAGTTCAATTACGTGTTTAAGTGACTGACTTGCTGAAATTAATATCTTTCCTTGTTATTTTTAATTACACATAACAAATCGTTCTCTGTCTACCCGTCTCTGTCTGTGTGATGTTTCGTACAATGCTGTTTCTGTTTAACAGTCTGAAGTTTAGTCTTGTTACCTGCTCCATGTTTTATTTTGTAAATAATGGTCTATTTTAATATTTTCTCTTGTGATGTTTCCACCTCGATCTTTCGCCATGAATCAAAACTGACAGTTTATTAGGGAATATTTCTGTCTTAAGGGGACTCATACACCTTAAAACCCATAAGATCTTCGAATATGTTACTGTTGCAAAAATTGGGATAACTTATTTATTTTAAAAGCAATTACTTCCAACCTTTTACAGCTGACTACATAACATAGCTGCTTTCTAAAATAGTAATCAGAAAGTTTCTGTTGCCACAAATATTTTTGTAATTTAATCCGCTTTGTAACAAAATTTTTCGTCAAGTTTCCACCTTCCGCGCACAGTTTAAAACATTCTGTTGCATAATTTAATTCCATATTTAATATATAGTTTTTATAACACTTGGAAACTACTGCGAACCTAAAATTCTAAGAATTTAATGTTAAATTTTTATTTTATTTGGAGTTGAGTTTATAAAATGTATTTTATTAAAATAATCTGTAATGTTTTCGCGCATAAATTTTTTTAATACTAAACTATTCATCAAATTTTTGGTTCAATTAGAAAATGGTGCCCATATAAAGAATTCCATAAAATTTCAAGTATGTACCACTAGCCATTTTTAAAATATCATGCGCGCAAGGTGGAAGTATGACGAAAAATTTTGTCACAAAGCGGATTAAATTACAAAAATATTTGTGGCAACACACACTTTCTGGTTACTAGTTTCTAAAGCAGCTACATAGTCAGCTGAAAAAGGTTGGAAGTAATTGCTTTTAAAATAAATAAAATATCCCAATTCTTGCAACAGTCACATATTCGAAGATCATAAGGGGTTTAAGGTGTATGAGCCCCCTTAAGGTTGGGATTAGTTTAAGTAACCGAAATCTCATCACGTAGCATTAATGATCAACAGTTTCATAGCATAAATTAAAGTAATGCAACCTGATGCCAAAACGATGAATCTGAAGGGAAAATAGTCTTCGGACTTGCTGTCATGCTGCTGATTAAATTACCGGGCATTCCAAATGAAGATAAGACCATATATTACATAACCCCACTGCAGCTCATTAAGGGCCTTGATGGGGGACCAAAGTTGTCATCTGTCCCCTTATGTAATCTGTCCATATGTCTATGTAAAGTTGTCATCTGCCCCCTTATGTCATCTGTCCCCTTATGTATCTAAACATGCTTGATCGGTTTTCAGATTTATAATCGAGCTGGCCAGTCCATTAGACGAATACCTTGTTCATGGATGTATTGGTTGACTGCATGTGCCCTTTGAATTCATAAATTAATCATTAAAACAACAGAATATTCTGTTATGAAAACACATTGTCGTATTATATTATAAGGATCAAGTATGTTGTCCCTACACATCTGATTGTTACGGATCCTCATAAACAAATGCCGGCTAGTAAATACCACTTATTCCTGACTAAAGTTTATAGTTTCGGCTAGATGGGCTAAGGGCTGTGCCATTTTCAGTTATCATTTACCACCATCTCATTTAGCATCCTGTAATCCCTATATCATGTTCTTTGCCCTCTCCAAAGCACAGCATGTGTCATACTGTAGAGAGTACCAGGCACGTTTCATAGATCAGAAAGCAGTAATGCTTCTGGTGTCATTAACTAGGTTTCTGATGTCATGACTTGCAATCGAAGTAGTAACGTAATCCAGAATGGAAGTTTTCGAATAGATATTTATTTTATCTTCTTCTTCCCTTTCAGAAAAACCCAAGCTTGCAGTGAAGGGCGCAGTACGACCATCACTCTGCGATGCGACAGTAATTTGGAAGGCAATGGTATCATATCTCCCCCTTCTTCATGCTCCGATGGTACCTGCGATGGCTGCAATTTCCATTTCCTGTGGAAGACTCGACTCGCCTGTCGAGTTTGCACCGAAAGTGATTATCAGGTCAGAATGGCCTCCTCAGTTTTTATTTTGATTTTTTAAGCTTTTGTGTCGACATTTGCTAACCAGCTGAATTTGAAACTGCTTGACTCGTTTCATTTTAAACTATTAATTTTATTTCTCCGACTTGTCTTGCTCATCCTAGAAGTATGAGAGAAAAAACATAATTGAGTGTAAGAGAAACATACATTTTTGGATAATACATAATTGAGTATGAGATAAAAGCCCCGCCGTTGGTACATAACGATTACACTAGTCATAAGCTGAATTATGAATATATTATGAATTATGAGACATCTTGAACATATGGTCAAATATAGAAGTCACTTTACATTTTGAAAATTAAATAACTTTTTCTTAAATGACTGTATTTAATTAATTCTTTTTTATTTTTTGCTTATTCACATGTCCATTCAAATGGAAATGAGCTTCATCTCCCATGATCAACTTGTGAATAAACTCATTGTCATTTCTTGCAGTTCTCTGAAACCTGACAGCATAATTTACTCGTTTCTGAAAGTCTGCTGGTTTTAAAGATTGCACTAATTGAACCTTGAAAACGCGTCACTAAGTTCCTTATTGCAGGCCTACTAGGGGGATGTCGAACATTAAAATGGCGCATATCTTTGCGTTGCAACAATTGACCGTCCATTTTCAAAGTAAAATTCAATTATCTTCACTCATTGTTCTGTTGTAAACTTATCCATGCCAAAAATTTCCAGGGATTATATTTTTTAATTCTGAAAAGAGAAAAAGAAATATATTAATAGAAAAAAGTTATTTAATTTTCAAAATGTAAAGTGACTTCTGGGCCACCCTATACTATACTGCATCCCCATTTTGATGTTTCTCTGACCGTAAATAAGATTAAAAATATTCTTAGCCTTCAAAGATGGCTGAAACACCTCAGCCTATAAAACTGTGTCTACCAACGGAATACTTAATGAAGCAGGTATTACATCTCTACACCTGAATATACAACTAAGATTAAGTAGCAATAAAAGAGCATTGAGAGCTACAGTGACCAACAATAATGCATGTATGCATATGGGCAACAAGAAGCTGAATCCACATATGCTAATCCACGCAGTTTAACATGGGTATGATAGTTTCAAAAGATAATATGTTGAATATTTAGTGAATTAAATGTGAAACGAGCTAGTTTCTCTTATACAGCCATTTAAGAAGTTAAAGAGATCGTCCAAGATAAAGTCTCATGCTTTGAAGCCTCATCTAATTTGGGGTTAGCTAGTTTGTCATCTTTGTTGTAAGAAAACTGGTCATAATTTTTTTTGGACATTTAATTCAACTTCTTGTAGTTAAAATAAGAGACAGTTTGCTATGTGATTCTTCCAGCAGGAGTAAGAATCTTTAAAACATGTTTATGGTTGTGACCAAGTTCATGCATGAATGCTTTTACCCACAGCTCGCAGAAGTTAAAATTGCAATCCTTTTAAGTTTCGCATTAGTAATAGCTTTATGGAGATCAGTTTATTTTTAAATGTTAGCCATTTATTTGTGCGTGTATTTAGCATGCTAAAGTTGTATCGTTTAAATTCATGTTATTGTTATTGTTGCTGCTGCTAATCCTAACTGGCTAGTCATCAGGCGAGACCAGATCCGTGAGTCCAAGAACCTGGTTTATGGAATAAGGAGAGTGCTACAGCTTCTGTTCGTCAAAAGATGTGAAGCACCAAATGATAGAAAGCTGACTTTGCCTACTAGCTTTAGCTGGGCTAAGAGAAATCGCCTTCACGACTAGAGTGGCCCTACTATAAGAAACTTCCAACGTACTTCACCCATTCCCCCCCACTGTCACGCCCTCTTCACGTTGAGGCAACTAGTAGGAACTGAAGTCTTAGAACAACTTATTTGCTGATGCAACTTATTGTATGTATTTCTAGTTATCGGATTTGGTCTACAACTGAAAGGCAGTTGAAAAACTCGATAATTTAACCAGTTTTGCTGAACTGCATCTGAGCCATTGTAGCACCTTTCTCTCATAAAAGACTTCATCAGTTTCAAGACGAAATACTTAGAAATATAGCAAAGTAAGATGCCTCTCTCTAGAGATGTTTTTAGTATCGCAAAGGTAAGAATGACATTTAAGGATTACTTAAAATTGGATGATATAAAATAAATAATTATTAATATAATTTAGATATAATATTTATCCAGCTTATGCTAAAATGTGGTAAAAAATGTATTATTGTTTGGATGCTTAATTAATTCAAGTCACAGCGTGTTGTTCCAGATAGTTCTAGTAACCTTGAACAGAAGTTTGTTTTTAGTGTGTGTGTGTGCGTTTTAATTATGTTAAAATAAAAATTTTTGGATGAACGCAGTGTAGCTGTATCTAATTAAAGCACGTTTTTTGATATTTAAAAAAGTAGACACAGAACTCGATGCATCCTTTCGTTGCCTACAAGAACAACAGAAAATATTCTTTCTCAAGGAAGAGGGCCCAAGGGACAATCTTGTACCTTTTCCCAGAGCTTCCTTTTCCCTCATTGCATAATCTTCCTACTATAAATCCAGACATTCGGAGCTTAGACTTAATACGACACCACTTGTGGTGAACAAGACGTAAAATGCCGCCACCGTATAACTGTAAATTCACGAATATCTCACTCAAGAGCTAAGGGAAATTCTTTGCAAGAGCTTCTAAATCTATTAATCCTTCCCATTAACCGATTACTCTTTGTTTCTTTCAGATTGTACGTGGCGAATGCATTCATGGCCAGCAGACTGTCCATTACATCTCGCCTCAGGGCTGCATCCTACCTGATGGATCCGCTGAGGGGGCGTTCAGACGCACCATACCATGCACAGTAATACCAAAAGAGTTGCAACTTCTGATCGGAGCAGGAGTGGGATTTGGTATCCTTCTCCTTGTCTTAGTTTTCTATTTCTGGAAGAAAAACAGGAAGTAAGAGACTCTGATGTTTACATTCTGTTTTTTTTTTTTTTTTTTTTTTTTTTTTTTTTTTTTTTTTTTAACTAAAAACATATTTTTAGTCAAGGGTATTATGGGCAGGTATGAATGGGTACCTTAAAAATTTCCAAAGTGTGTTCCCTCCCTAATAACTCCCCCTATTTCTTAACGTTATAAAACCTCTCAAGAAATGCTCAGACTGATCAGATCACCCTTTCTGTGTTTTCCTGGTAGCCCTTAAGTATAGAATCATTTGGAAAAGAATCACAGTCAACAAACCATCATTTCAATTAGAAAGTAATATTTAAACCTCCACAGCTCAATCAGCAGTGTCAATGGTTCAGCTTACAGTATTGATCTTCGTGAGCTAATACGGTTGATTCCCAATTTATTTCAATGTTTCTGAGATTAAGCAATTTTGATGAATGTACATACTCTAATTGCTGACTGAATTCACTCGGTCTTCCTCACTCAGTAGAAAAGAAAACCACTTTTTTTTAGTATCTCTTGAAAATCCGTCTCATACCTGGATTCTGCTTCCAAAAAGCTATATAACTAAAAAAGCACTTTAGCTTAATATTACTAAATAACGGCACTGTAAAAGTATGCGATTCGGAACGGTAGTTAATTGATAGAGTTTGACTTTTATGGTAGCATAAACTAGCATCAAACTCTTAACGAACTTGGAGCAAATTATCACTGTGTCTGAAATCAACGACATAGACTTGAAAAAGTTAAAACAACCTTTTTATTAAGTCAGAACTTTAACATAAACGTACATCTTGTGCTTAACAAAACAACCATCACTTGCAGAGATGCAACTCAAAGTAACAGTTAAATTTAAACTTAAAACTAAGCCTAGTAGCCAAAGACTAAGAAATTCTCACTGGTGTAACAATTAAATATCGGCAGCAGTAATACGAAGCCGAAGAATTAAAGCTGGTGAATCCCAGCAACATGGCTTCGAGAGCACGCTCTGTCTTAGAATATAATACCCTCGACTTAAATACTGTCTAACTGATTTACATTATAATGATTGGTTAATTAAAATAATAATAACCCTATACATTAACAATGAATAATTGAAGATAAATATGCAAATAATAAGAGAAATTAACCTCTAGACGTTATAGTGAGTACAAAAAAAAAAAAAAAAAAAAAAAAAAAATGAATATATTTAGTGACAGCAGCTCCACTCATCTTCTTCAAAAGGAAAATTTTTATTTCTCGTAAAAGTGAACTATGCTGAAGTATTTGAAACTCACTAAGCGTTTTAAAACATAATTAAGTTACACGTTAAGACTAGAGGGTTGCCAGTTACAGGGGTTAGACAAAAATATGGAAACACCTTTAAAAAAACAAGTCTCTTTGCTTAATATGTTGTAGGAAACCCGTTGGCATCCAAAACAGCTTGCAGTCTTCTCGGAATGGATAAATACAGTTCCTGTATGTTTGCCAAGGGAATATTATACCATTCTTCCTGCAAAACGGTGGCAAGTTCAGATAACGATGTTGGCGGTGGATAACGAGAACGCACTTTCCGTTCCAATGTAGACCACAAAGGTTCGATAATATTCAGGTCTGGTGACTGTGGTGGCCAGGGAAGATGGGACAACCCATCCTCGTGCTCAGAAAACCAGTCCTGGACAATGTGAGCTGTGTAAACAGGGGCTTTGTCGTCTTGGAAGACACCATCACCATCGGGGAACAAAGTTTGTACCATGGGATGAACTTGAACGGCCAAAATGTTCACATAAGTCTTGGCAGTCATGTGCCATGACACAGTTATCACGGGGCTAGCAGAGAACCACGATATGGCTGCCCAAACCATAACAGAAACCCCGCCATGTTCACTCTTGGCAACAAGCAGTCTGTATTATAGGCTTGAGATGGCGTTCTCCAGACGTAAACTCGGCCAGAAGTGGGAAACAATGTGAAAGAAGACTCGTCAGACCATATTACTCGCTTCCACTGCTCTATAGACCAGGCTTTATGACTTAAACACCACCTTTTCCAGTTACGGGCATTAGCATCACTGATGAGTGGCTTCTCAATTGCAGCACGGCCAGCAATTCCCTGTTTATGAAGCTCCCTTCTAATTGTTTTGGTACTCACAGGGTTCGGTAACACAACATTCATTTCAGCAGTAACTTTTGCAACTGTGGTCTTCTTATTTTTTGTCACAATTGCCCTTAATGATCGTCTGTCACGATCACTCAGGACACACTTTCGTCCGCGCTGTGATTTAGCAGATGATGTTTTTCCGCTTTTCAAATATGCGGAATAAATCTTCGATACAGTACCTCTTGAAGCTCTAAACACCTCGGCTACCTTGCTTACGGAAGCACCTACCATACGTGCTTCAACAATTTGCCCACGTTCGAAGTCTGTTACTCTGACATAATGCAATGACAACCTCACATAACAGTACTCCGACAACAACTGAACTGTTTAGCACATTTGCGAAGTTGTATAGGTGGCGTCAGTAGTCAAAAACGCCAGCGCCACCTACATATTTCATTAAAATCAATCTTTCTTTTCAAACATGCATTTTACAAGGTGTTTCCACATTTTTGTCCATCCACTATTTAAAGCTTATATTAATGCATATAGCTTGTAGCTATTTAGGTTTTCGATTAACACTTTCATTAAATTAATATTTATTAGATTCTGAAGGTCAATATAAGTCTTATATATTAAGATGCAATAACATGCCGAACAGGTATTAATTTAGAAGTCAAACAACAAAAATCAGCGTTATATTTTCAAATTTTGGATGCTGATAACAAAAATCAGTGTAATCAGCATCCAAAATTTGAAAATATAACGCTGATTTTTGTTGTTTGACTTCTAAATTAAGCCTTATATAGCTTCATTATTCCGGACGTTCTGCATTAATCCTCGTGATGTATAAATCTTCATAAAAAGTACAGAACATTATTTTGTTTTTTTCCAAGAAGTGGATGTATCAGGTTCAATGCTCCGTCTTACTTTCTTTGGGAACATGCACAGACCTGACTCGGAACAGGGAGCTTACTGAAGCTATGTTCAATAAATGTGGGAAGTAGACAGGACACAGGAAGGGTATACAAAACCCTTTATTTTTCACTTTTTACAATAATTTCCGTACTTCGGAATACAGAGACCAACTACTTGTGGTCTGAACGTAAGAATATAAAAATATAACTTAAATTTGGAATAATCAACAAGGGCCTACGTGTAAGATTGGCCGGATATTAACAGGAAGCCGTATGTAGTACAGAGAACTGTTAACACTACAATACGTTTAAAATTATCACGAGGATTAAACCTCTGGCCTGGAAGGCAAACAGCAACCGAGTAAAACTTCTAAGGCAAGCGGCCTGCTTCCACTAACTCCTTCCTCTCTCTCGCTTGGCAAAAAGCCACAACTTAAGTACTTGGCGTTCGCCAGACAAATTTTGCATAAATAAGTTAACGCTTTTAATTCTGGCCGGAAGTAGAAAATAAGAAGTGATAGTAAAGATTTAAAATAAAATAAACGTTAGTAAAACTTAAGATCCTTACAGATGTATCCTATCCTGCAAAAATCAATGTTCCATCCTTCGATCAAAAGAGCAAAATAACAATACTATGAATTACTTATAGTAATAATTTATGCTTGTATTGCTCAACAAAAATTATATCAATTAAAATCTGAAAATTATCGATTATCCCTTTGTATAAATCTGGAAGTTTACTTAATGTGCTAAGTCTCTGATTATTATCACTACTAGGAAGATAAATTTCAGAATTGTTTTTTTAAAGTGTTGTGATCGTAGTTCAAACTATTTTTTTTTAATGTGCTCGTGAGTCGATTTTCTAGTGCTGCATTTATTTTGATTTTGTGCCCATACTGATACGTACCAAAAGACTGCTTGGGGTATCAATATATACTCTAAATAAAGACTAGAATTTGCCTAATTTTACTCTTAATTTACAATATTTTTTTTTTTTTTTTTTTTTTTTTTTTGAAACCTGTGAAGTATGGCATTTATACTTCTTATTATACCTTCAGTTAGCTGTAATAAACGCTGGAAACCATATCAATGAAGGAATGATCTTCGTATGTATACGGTTGTTACACGTATCTTATGGGTAAAAATATGTCAGTTCGTAGTCACTTTCCAAAAGAACTCCTGACAGGTGTTTCGATATTCTGCCCACTCATATTGAAGACTCCTGTCACTAAAAGTAAAGAGCCATAGAAAAATCGTAGCTGCTGTTTTTAATACGACTACGATCTGAATGTTCAGCCAATAAGAGTTCCAGTTTATATCTGAGTTATGCATTCACCGTAGAACCAAACAAAGCAGACGCAGATGGGAAAAGTTTTTGTAAATTGTGGGGAAAAGTGATTCTCCATGTTCAGAGATCTCAAGCCTTCGTTCGGAAAATGCTGGCGTAAGGATGCTGGCCCTGTTTAACTTCGAACTAGCAAGTTTGTTTTATTGCATTCCCCGTGTTTTTGGACGCCGACCGAACACGTAAGTTATTCTGGTGAAATCTGATGCATAATATTTAAAAAAAAAAAAACCTTTTTGCTGTATTTACATTTATTGTACCGTTATGACAGAACGAGATCATTGGAAGGAAACTTCCTTTACAGCTTTAGTTGCATTGATTTTTGACGAAGGCGGTGCGCATATTTCACAAGTGCACATCTGACTAGCCACCGATGGAGTGGCTTCTAGGATGGACCAATGGGCATCCAGTAATATTTCTGTCATGTCACATGTCATGTCCCGCGCTTTTAAGATTTAGGCAAGGTGTTTGAAAATATTTTGCCCAGAAATTTTCTGTACAAAATAATTAAAGTATCGTCGATTTCTTCTGAAAATTTTCATTGCGAAGTTAGATCAACTATAACCAATTGTGAGGACTTCACTACCTTGGTTGAAAAAATTTGAAATAAATATAAACACATGTTGCATACTTCGCAAAAATATCCATGTGAAATATTACTTAGTAAGTGGTAAATAAGATGAAGAAAGAAGTATGAGATAAACATCTAGGCCCAAATGCTATCTTTACATAAAACTATGCATATGAGAAAAATATTTACACCAATCATATATGTAAATAGAAGTCAGCAATTTTTATTGCAATCTATATGAAAAGATGAAAGATGTTCTATAATAATAGCTAATGCAGAACTTTACCAATCTTCATTTGTATGCATTTAGAGTATTAAATTTCACATTTAATAACTTCTCACTCTTAAAATGTACTGTCTACACAAGAAATAATCATTAAACAGAACGAATTTATCTTATTCACAAAGAATATATTCAATTTATTCACATATAACTTTTGTTAACAATGGATATAATTAGATCATACACAATATGTATTCTGAATCTTACACTTTCAAAATCAAAAGAATGCGACCACTGAAATAAGAAAACACTAGATTGTAACACTTCCAGTTCTTCTCAGCTCAGTAATAAAAGAAACTATACACTTGAATTCTCTTTTAATCCACAGGTGTTAGTAAATGCATAATATTCGAGACTAACTGTAGCTTTAGTTATTTTCTCGATTTAGGTAGCTATAATATGCCATGAACATCAATATATCATAACATATGCCAATAGAAGCTCATTGGTCCATTTTCAAAACTCCTCCCTCAGTGGCTACGTTGATGTGCACTTGTGAAATATGCAGGCGGTGCAGTCTGTCCAGTTCAAGTGTTAGCGTAATGGCAGAATGAAGGGATGCAGTTATAAGATGTTAACTTTAGAAAACATATTAAAATTAAAATGTCGTGGACAGGTGAAATGTTTTTGTTGTGTTTAAAAACACTTCATGGTATCAATAAACAAATGTAATTTCCTTAAAAGCTGTTGAACAGTAGCATTTTATAAATCGTTTATTTAAATACAAAACAGTTAACTATTTTCGAAAGTTGGAAAGATATAGGTTTCGGCTGGGATTTTTACCCATGATCCTCAGCTCTGTGCAGTCAGATGTTTGTTATCCGACATCAGACTCTTATAGTCTTTGATTGAATATGGGATCTATGATTCGATTCTTAAGGACAACCGATGACATTACACTTCTGAATGTGTAATCGGTAAGGTTGCGCTATAAAAATCCTTTAAGAATTTTAGCACCCCGCCAAGTACGTTTTAAGTCAGTTAAGTTTGAATTAGGGTCTTCACAACACGTTTTTACTATTTTTAGAATGATGTCTGTCTGTGTATATATATATTTTTTGTTAATGGCGGGCATTTGCCTATAACGGCATTGGCTACTCCTAAGGCCAGAAACGGTGGCCGTTTTATTGTGGAGGCATCTAATAGGCGACCACCGTTACCTCCTACGAACGGACAGACAATTTTACGTCCATGCCTTCTCCGGGATTCAAACCTGGGGCCTTCGGTATCGCAGCCAGCCTTCCTTAACCACTAAACCGTCTGTGTATGTGGCTGAGATGATATTTTTCATCAGCAATAGCTGTTTTATGAAACTTCCAAAAATTTCTATTTTCCGTATTTAAGCCTTCTGCATTTATATAAAACGTTGATTAGATTTGGTGTAAAATTGGTGACACCGAAATGCTACTTCACAGAAGGCCATAATGCCTCGTTCCGACGACGGTTTTGTTGTCATAAAGTTTTGTGGTTTAAGGCATAAAAGTCATTAAGCCCATTCAAACTTTAGCTGCGTTTAAGCCACAGCCAATCAAGGAAGGGGAAGTTGCGCATGCGTAAATGTGTAGCTGACTTAGCGAAACCGTCGACTGATGTTTACTTCGCTGTGACTGGATAGCGCTTATACCAAGTTGCATAAAATTGAAAAGTTTAGGCAAAGCCCTTAAACCAGTTTTTCTGACAAGCAAGGTCTGGTTGCCTAGCAACGATGCTTGGCTTAGACATTTTACGATTTTAAAACCACTGTGTGAACGAAGCATAACAGTCTTTAATGATAGTGGTACGTTATTTGAAGCCCATAGCAGTTTTTAATAAAAAACTACATTAAAATATAATCCAAAACTTTTCCAATTTTGTATTTAATACTTCTAACTGAATGGGAACAACACAGAATAGTACATTTTGACTAAAATTAATAAACCGGAAGGAATAATTTACTTTAGGTTCTGAACAGACTTTTGTAAAAAATTATATTATGAGATAATCCAAATCTCAAATTGGGTATTAAAATAAACACGTGACTGTCAACAGCATATTACATTTATTAGTATTAAATGTATTCTTGAAATTATGCCGAATAGAACGAGAATAAGCTTATTACGAAGACGAGCTTTTCATTATGAAGCAATTCGTTGTGAAGCTTCAGTCCTAAATTTCGTGTTCGTTGCACTTTTGTGTCGAATCACTTTTCAGACAGAAGGATGCTGCTACCAGATATTATCGCAGCGTATTTTTTAAAGAAATGATGTAATAAATATTAATAGGACAGTGACTATGAAAAGAAATGTATAACAACACTTAACACTGTATGGGGAATTCTAAAGATATGCTGCTTTTAAAAATGTTGTGATTGTTAAATCATTGATTTTGTAAATCTGAAATACTATATAAGAGAAAACATTACGATCAATGCGATACTTTCAAATCAAAGCATGGAAACGGATATGTATATCAATCAGAACGTATAGTTATCATTTTCAATCGTATGGGAGGACAAAAAACGTGTAGTGTTTGTTTGTAATTAACACTGAGCTATAAAGTTTACAAACAAATTAGATTTTATTTACAAACGATCATCCGGGATTGATAAGTTATCAAAACTCGTTGCTATTCTTCCTATTATATGTTCTTCGATCAAGTTCTTTTGCACGTAGGGCCCATTAATGGCCGAACGGTAAAGTCGCTTAACACCGGTAGATCGGTCCGTGCCTGGAATCCCAGCGAACGGGCTGGCTGCGTGGACGTTTTCATGCTTTTCCCTATGGTAGCGTGTATACGAGCCAGATTCCTTTCACAATTCCGCCATGAAGGCATCCCTCTCGGCAGATAGCCCTCGAGTGCTTTGCCATAAACAAATAAACCAAAACATCTTTTGCGTTTTCTTTTTTTAATTTGATATAGTACATGCTCCATCCAACACTTTAGAAATTCAAAGCCTCGGGCTTTTCGCATTGGGAGATTACAGTTTTTGGACTTTCTTGGACTAAAAACATGACATGTAAAACTTCAGCTTTGAAACCTGTTTTATAGGTTGAGGCTGAACTTTATAAGAACAAAAGCTTTTTTTTTTAATCTAATCATAAAAAAATTGAATGCCCCCCCTGAGTTTATAAAAAAGAATATTTTTATTTTCAATACAAAAAATGGATTTAAATTTCCAATGCCAGTGGTCCCATAATTATGTATATAAATATTTAATATACTAATAACTATATAGTAATAACTATAAAGTTATTACAGATGTTTTACTATGTGTGATTATTACAGCAGCTTCGTTATTTTATTTACTATTTTAAATATAGATCAATCAATCAATCAACTTTACGTGCTTATTGTTAGGAAATATCCAGGTGCGGTTAAGATAGGTTAGGGTTGCCAGAAAGTGGCACGAAAGGCAGATTTGCCTGATTTGGCGAGAAGTCGACCATTTGACGACATATGGCAACAAAACTGGCGATATGCCATAGACAGATCGAGAACATTCTAGAACGAATTCTTACCAGTTTTCCCCAGTGTATTCTCGAAGACAGGTCAGAAGCTATATATATCCTGCCTGCACGTGTAGTAGCAATTTATCGTGAAGAGTATCTTGAGCGTGTTGAGTTCAGAAGTAGTGATTGAGAGAGATCGACCGTGTCGGGAGCTTTGTCGTGAAGCTGTCTTTACCGTTATAGCCTGATCGCTGATAGCCTGAAGGCTGTGTTGCTGATCTTTTCAGGGTGTTTATCGCAGTTTTTAGACGACTGTAACGCGTCTTTGGAACTGTCCCGTGTAATACTGACGAATAAATTGTGTTTTGATTCTTCATCAAGTGTTGTTATCAATCATTCCAAATCCACAAACCGGTACAACGCAACAACTGGTGTCAGAAGTGGGATATGTGAGTGAATGCCAGTGACCCGCCTTAGAAGAGATGAAAGCCGATATAAAAACCTATAAGAATTCGTTGTAGAATATTCCCTCTCCGTCTATAATATATCACCAATTTTGTCACCAAATGGGCGATTTCGCTCCAAATCTGGCAACCCTAAACCCGTTTTGTGGGGAAGCTATCTTACCGCAGCTGGGCATTTCGTAACAGTATATTGCATTGATTTAATTCGACTGCACGAGTATAAAAACAAAGGTTCAAGCCAGTAAGTCCTTTAAAGATCAACCTTCTGTGTTTACAGGAGGAAAAGAGTGATCAAAATTATCTGTTATTTAATACCTATAAGGAAATATCCGGCACTTAGTATTCGTACAAGGTATGTTAGTTAAGAAAGTTTAAAATTACCAGCCAAGGCTTCCTGGCGTACATTGCAAGTTGTATACCTTTCTACATACAATTCTATATCTTAGAAATTATTTACATCTTTCTAAAGGTCATCATCTTTAATCTTTAAAATTTTCAATTATTTAATCTCATTTGATGTCATCTTTAACTGCATGTGTTTTTCGTAAAGGTTGGAGTTCAAGTATATGAAGCTGGTCCAGTCGAGTTCGTCGAAGGACTGTGAATTACCGGCTGCCGAGAGCTGTGCCATCGACGACGACGAGGAGGAGCACTTCGACAGCGTCGCTTTTAGCGACAAGAAGAAAGGAATCTTGGGGAAGTTCCGCACAATTAGAGTCGGCAATCATAAGGTGAGAAACCATCTTCATTTAGATAATAATGGTGAATCGCTTTTATGTTAAATATTTAATGCAAGATTTGAATAGGAATGATTTCATAGATACCTAAAAGTGTCATGTTTGGCGAATTATAAGTGCACAAAACAAGAAATAGTACTTACGCATTATCCCATCTACCTTAGTAAAAATCGCCAAAGCTTTAGATTACACCAAACTCTGGTAACTATGCGCATAACAGTTATTCAGGCAACCATTCTCATGATAAATGTTTAGTTTGCAACGTCGTCGTTTTCTTGTGCGTCTTTTTGTTATATTCCAAGTTCCAACGACTTTTACAGAAATATTATGATTATTTTTTGTGTTAAATTCGATTTTAAAATTTGTACTGTAGGATTTTTTATAATAGAAGAAAGAGAGGTGAAATTTTGCAGAAATGCATTATTTTGTTGCAAACTCGTTAAAGGAACAATGCTTCGAATTCTTTTTCAAAGTGATCTCTACAAAATTTCCGCAACAGAAGCAGAAACCCGTTTGTAACTAGTTTACTGATTTGGAATAAATATATAATTGAAACTTAGAATGTATCTGTAGGTATGTATGTAATACATAAAATGTTTTAACAATAAAAGTAATTGTTCTTTTTCTTCCTTAAAATTCGGCAAACTGCGCCAAGGTGGCTGCGATAATAAGTTACGGACAGAGGCTTTTCTGCTTATGCAGTGGTTTGATGGAAAATTATTATTTTATTGTTCTGCCATCAACTAAATTTGGAAGTGATATTATAGAAGGGTGAAATAATTTCGCTTTTAAAATCATAAGAATGTTTTTAAAAGAATCAATGACTGACTGAAACGTTATACCTTAATGTAACCCACCATATTCGAAGAGCTTCTTTCAAAATGATGGTTATATTTCTTAATTTGTTAGACTTTTTTAATTGGATTGCAGTCTCACTTAAATATAATCACTTCAAAAGTGATAAAAATTCATTTTTTGTGAAATTTACACAACTGAAAATTTTACAACGAAATTAACAAAAACATCAACCATAAGAAAATAATAATGATAAAAACGTAATTTTTTACTTTATGTTGTGTATGCTAACCATAAGCATCCAGTGGGGTAGATAATTCGAAAATGTTCATCTATTAGTAATATATGGCCAAATATGTCAGCCAACACTCAAAAATTGAAAAAACAATACATACACTATTGAAGGAAAAATAATGTATTTTAAATTCTCTAAAGTTATTTTTTAACGCCTACGGTATATCATGCATAATAATTTACAAACTTCGTGTAAAAAATTTTCATGTGATTCTATAAGAAACTTTTAAAATTATCATGGATTCTGATAGTATAAACCATAAAAAAAACAATTAATCAAAATTCGCATTTAAAGTTTTCAGATTAATGTTACATGACATATATGCACTGCTATTCATGTTGCCAAAGGAAAATGAGAAAATACATAATAAAAATACTTTGCCAGATTCTCCAGACTTATTGAAATGCTTAAAATTATTTAGTTAAAATATAACATAAAAAAGGGTAAAAATTGCATCTTTAATTTGCCCTTTGATTTCCGGTGTAGCAGACAGTAAGTAACTTCCGGTTCGTCATCTCTCAGAAAAACTTATATATTTCCACTTCTAGTCAACATAACAAAAAAAAAAAAAAAAAAAAAAAAAAAAAAAACTTTTTGATAACTAAATATGGCCTTTAAAAATGTTAAATAAAAAAAATTGAGGTGTTTAGTCAAAATCGGAGTTTTGAATGAGATAGGTTACCTTAATGTTAAATGATGCAGGCTAATTTTGTTATTCTTTATTACTGCTAACTATCATTATTAATGATATAATGTGCGCAGTATATGATGTGCGCAGTATTACTGCTCATTTTTGGAGCACAATCTTTGACCAGCTTTGAGAAAAAATCGGCGACACTTTCTGCAGAACGCTCCTCTCATTTTGCATGACAATGCTCTGCCGCATGCAGCGCAAGCTGTGACTGATTTGTTCAAGCGATGGGGCTGGGAAGTGCTTTACCATTCACCCTACTCCCCACATCTAAGACCTTGTGATTATGACTTAATTCCTAAGATGAAGGAACCACTTCGTGGCACTCGCTTCCAAACTGTTCCTGAGATTCTTGCGGCAGTAGACCGGTCCATTCAAACTATCAACAAAACAGGCGCTGCTACAGGTATTCTGCGACTTCCACATTGTTGGAAACGGGTTGTACACAATGCTGGCGACTATATTGAAGGACTGTAAAACATGGTGACATGAATGACTTTTGTATTCCTTGTAAATAAATAGTTGCCACTATTAAAGTTCCAACCCTCGTACATTAGTGTACAGAATTTGATTTTAAGAGGTTGTTATCCAAAAGTTATGTTGTTGGTCCAGAAGTCTTCTCCAGGCATCTCTACTCTTGGCAACTGTTTTCCAGTTTTTAACCTTTAAAATATTAAGATCGTTTTCGACACAATCAATCCATCTTAGTGGGGGTCTGCCCCAAGGTCTATTTCCCATGAGCTTTGCCAGAAAGATTTTTTTTGCAAAAACTATCTTCATTCATTCTAGCCACATAGCCAGCCCATTTAAGTCTCTGTAATTTGACGAATTTTACAGTATCAGCTTGTTTATAAATTTAGAGCTTCCTAAGTTAGATCTTCTCCATGATCCATTCACTTGGACTCCACCAAGAATGTAACGTAATATCTTTCGCTCGAAAATTCCCAAAGCTTCCTCATCACGTAAAGTCATTGCCCAAGTCTCTGATGCATAAGTCAAGACAGATCTTGTAAGAATTCTGCAAAGAAGCAATTTAGTTCTCAATTTTAATAAAACTGGATTTTAAATAACTTTTCAGGGCATAAAAACAATTATTTGCAGCCATGATTCATTTTGTTATTACCTTTATTAATAAATGCGTACTAGCTACACAACTAAATCTCACAAAGGAATTAAACCCATTGGAAACTCGTGGAAGACTCGCTTAGATACCATAGTAGTGTTAACGCTGTAAACATTATTTTTTATTTAAAAACATCGTGAAATGACTCCAAATCGACTAAGCGTCTGTACTTGTATGAGGCTAAGTTTCGAGAAGCTTTAAACGGGTTTCAAGAATTCCTGAAGGATCGAGAATGAACTGGAAGCTTCTCGTATGTGCAGTTCCCATGGGTGGCCAAGCACCGACTGCTAGAGAAGACACAAAGTTCAACTTGGCAAATTACCGCTTTCAAAATGCAATATCGAAATTTTGATAGTTATTCCACTTTTTTAATTCTTTAATTTTATTTAGTTTTTATTTATTTTATTTTCCTGAAGCATTGGGAAGTACATGTGGAGCCCTTAGGGCTCCGCTGAATACATGTTGAGATTCTGAACCACTGCTTTGGAGATATCAATACAAATGTATCATACATAAAAGTAATGTTTCTTTCCTAAGTCTAACACAAGAATATCCAAGTTTTTGAAATATTCTTTCTAAGAATATCACGATAAACTAAGCACTTAACTTTATTCGATTATCTTGTCTTCACCTTTTAGCCGTCTACTGATGCCTACTGTCATGTTCTAAAAGGCGTCAGTAAGGAAGAATTGATGAATGCGCATTTTTGTTATTTTGTATTTTGTTCTTGCTGTTTTTGCTGCTTTAGAATGTTTAAGGAAACCCTGAAATGAATTTATGCATGATTGTCCAGGTTTATAAGTGGGAATCGGAATCGGAAGCTCTGGAGGGCTCGTGGACGCCGGCCAACTGAAGAGGGCCTTTGAAGAAAGGGGTGTGTCATTCGCAATGCCGTCCGTCCACATCCGAGGTAGGGCTTCCTACACATTTTTTGATGCACATTCATGCAAATAGTTTAGCAGTGTTCTCTGCTTCACTTACCTTTTTTTTTTTTTTTTTTTCCTTTAAATATCATTTACTATTTGCTGCTTTCTTTCTTCTCTCCCAGAGCTTAGGTTCGTTGGTTTTATTTCATGCAAAGATGTCAACTTATTTGCCCCAAAAGAACTCCTTTTTATGCATGGTTTACAAATAAAAGAACCTGCAGTCTGTTATACTTCTTAGCATTTCACAATAATCCCAAGGAATAGTTTTGATTCTTCAGGTTTCTCAATAATGCCAAGATAGTTTACATGATTTTTTCTCTTCATGTTATGCTTTTTCCCCTATATTCATGTTATTTCAGGCGTTTTTGGATTTCCTGATATTTAGTAAAATTAAAACAAGCTCATAGTTGTTAAAATACAAGGTATTGTAACTTCAGAATATCCGTGTTGGGTGATAGAAAAAACAGTTTGTCGTTTAAAATATTTATTTTGAAAACTTAATAAGAAATTCTTGATTAAATATTAAAATAATTGAATCATTACAGCCACAAATCATACAACGGCAGCTAACGCGGCGACGGAGGATGCGTCTGCTTTTACTCGTTTACAGCATCAAAAGCTTTTACACAAAGCTTCGTTTTTGTTACAACCTGGAAAAGAAACTTAATTAGTCCCTTATATCCGGAAAGCACACCAGGGGGTTTCCGCTGCACCTTTCTTCCAAAGGTCTGCTGTCCATTCTGTCTCTGACAACAGTTATCTCTCATTAAGCACCTGGAAGCCCGAGGGATGCATTCTGAAAGTCACAGTATCAAGAAAGTAACAGGAGACTTTCTTATACAATAACACGCCGAACAAGTATTAATTTGGAAGTCAAACAACAAAAATCAGCGTTATACTTTCAAATTTTCACAGGACTAGTTTGGATGGTTTTACCGAACCATCATCCTCAGCTGCTCTTGTTAGATTGTGAGCAATAAACACTATGCAGTCGTATTTCTATACTCTATTAATTTTCTGGTTTTATTATTCAGTATCTAAACGCTGAAAAAAGAGAGGCTCACAACTAGATGTTATAGCAGTACCATATACAAAATTTCAACGTTTTGCGGCTAATCGTTTTTGGTTAGAGATAAATACATGCATGCATATATATGCACATACATGCATACATACATATATACACACGTACATGCTTACGTACAGACGTAACGAAAGAAATCCCCTCTGAATCTATTTTACAATTCCTTTTGGGAAAAAGCTTATTCTTAAGCTTGCTTTAGTCTCTCCGTACGTACAGATGTCATGAAAAAAACATCGTTCAGATAGATTCGAGAGCGGTCAAATTGGATATTTTAGCTCAAATATAATACCCGAAATTATTCGCGGTAACATATTTTCTTTACTTCGTAGAATAAAGTAAAAGGAAACATCTAAAATTGGTAACAAACATCTAATATAAAATATGGAGGAGGAGGATTGAGGGTACATGAGTGTATACCGCTTACTGAAATCATGATCTCCATTTTATTGATAGTATAATGGATCAATACAACGGTATTGATAATTTTAAATGAATCTTGAAATCAACAGCGCAGAAACAGGATTTGTAGAATAATTCTAAAATGGGAACTACTCTGATATGCGCCCTCAAGTCGCCAAATTTCTCGCCAAATATTTTTGGCGAGAAACTTCACGCTGCCATATTACTATCTAAATTTTTTGTCTACATTTTGAACTTTTAGCCTAAAATGTCTCCAAAAACGCGGTTTTCGCACATGCAAAAACTAAGTTTTGAACACACAATTTAGCTAAAAATCCGAAACAAAAACAAAAAATTTAGATAGCAAAAACGTAAAGTTTCTAACCAAAAATATTTGACAAGAATCCATGTACACAGCGACATGTTTTAACTTAAAAAAACATCTACGAATTGCACAATGTAGGCAACGAACGAATCTACAAACTACGCACACCTCGCTTTAATAAATTAACATAACAATAAATTTCAAAGAATACCATGTACACAGCATCCTGTTTAAACTTAAAAAAAAATTCTACGAATTGCACAATTTAGGCAAGGAAGGAATCTACGATCTACGCACTCCTCGCTTTAATAAAATAACATAACAACAATAAATTTCAAATAATACCATGTACACAGCGTTCTGTTTCAACTTTAAAAAACATCTACGAATTGTACAGTCTAGACACTAAACAACAAAATAAACTAAAATAAATTTCAAACAATTTAAAAAAACAACAATAACGACAGAAATTCATACTAAAGAACCAATGAACATAACATTCTACAAAATAAGAACAAGGATAAAATAAAATGCACTTACCATGAATTAATGCGTTTCGAATAGCAGAAATATAAATTTCATACCGCCTTTAGCATGCCGCCACATAATCACTATCGTATTTACATAACAGCCAGACACACTATCCAGAAAATTTATACTATAGTTCACAAATAAATAAAATTACAAATCCCTACTTCTATCATGCACTGCCATTAAAAATAATCTCCCAGACCCTCTTTCCACACTTCCAAATACCCACTACCTTTCAACAGGATAGCCACAATCATATTTCTTTTTGCCGAACTTCAATTCAACAACTACCATTTTATCTTTCCCTCCCATCTTCTCAGACACAGAGGCGAACCAACGAGCTCCAGCGAAAGATTTTTCAACGCCAACAGGGTTGCCATAGAACACGCAATCGCGCCAAAAACCAGCGCAGAACACATATCGCCACATTTGGTGAAATTAGGGCGTATATTAGAGTTGTACCCTAAAATGTACCAATAGAATGTTCCCAAGGATATTCCTATGAATGTGCGGATCTAGAGGGCATTTAATATTCTGAAATATTCAAAATATCTCCTCATTGTCTAAAGGTAAACCTACCGCAAAATGTTTTTAACAAATTGAAAATAAAACCGAGAAATAAAATATTTCTTCAAAATAAAAGTTGAAATTGATAGTGCAAGATGACTGGAGAAAAGGTAAGCAGAAATGTTCAAAACATTTAGCAGAATATGTGCTTAAAGTATTAAATCATGTTTTTGAAAGCTAAAAGTTCTAAAGCTTTAAAATTTTAGATAACGTATGTTTAGTCCAAAGGGACTATTGATTTCGTTTTGGCATTTTGCGTAGATTCACGATAAGCATTGTTTTTTCACTTTTCAAATTTTTGCCGCCAGATATTATCGCCCTGCATTATATTTGAAGAAATTAAATAATGAAGAATCTGCATGAATGTGTGTATGTTTCTCGCATTGTGATAAAACAACGGTACCCAGAGCCGTCAAAATTTGAATAACGTAATCTTCCGTAGAATATGGGCATGAGGAAGCCCTAATTTGAATTTGAATTTTTTTATTATCGATTTCATATTTTATAACACTTCAACGAGTTTTTGATTAACAAATTAAATGATTTCAAAGCGAGCAAGAGCAACACTGTATGAAAAGAAAAAAACCATTTTTATCTCCAGCGCGCGAGACTGTATCGAAAATTCTAAAGATATGTTCATTTTAAAATTATTTTGCGACATTGCTGTTGAACTGAATTTTATGGTTTGAGTGCGAAGAACATTATATTTAATAAACCAAGGTAGCACACAAAGTGTTAAAAAAAACGCTCCTTTGGACATAATTTAAAATTTGAAACCTTTCAATTTTTTTTTTTTTTTGTATTATTTTTATTATTATTATTTCATAGAATAATAAGTATCAGATTATTTACTTTTCCTCTGAAAAGAGAAAATAATAATTTTTAAACTCAATATTTTATTTTTTGGTGAAAATACTTAGTGTAAAATTCGGCGAATATGTACAATTCATTTAAAATGTGTGATATTATTTTCAAGAATCCGTTTAATGTCCGATCGCATTTTGTGGAACGTAGTATGTGCCTCTGTATTCAGTTTTATGCTTTCATAATGCCTAACTGCCCACCAGCGGCCGAGTCGCTGAACACTGGTAGTTCGGTCTGAGGTTCGAATCCCGCGAACGGGCTGGCTGCATGGGCGTTTTCGTGGTTTTGCCATGTGTAACGTGTATAAGAGCCAGTTTCCCTTAGAAACTCCTCCACGAAGGCATCCCTCCCCTTAGGCAGATAGCCCTCGAGGCTTTGCCATAATCCCACACACACACACACGCATAATGCCTAACTGCTGACCAATAAGAACGTATTTTATTTCTGCTTGCAAAGCTTTTCAAAAGTGAAATACAGAATTTTAATAAAATGATTTTGTTTTTGTAGTCTTTATCATTAATGTGGTCCCGATAAGTAAAAATTCCAGGTAATCAAATACTCGCAATGTTTTGATTAATTAATTAAAATGAGAAGTTTCTTATCTCTAAGCACATGATGGAAATTCGCTTTGTAAAATATTCCTTGGAAGTGGCTCACATTTATTTTCGGACACTTTTTTTTTTTTTTTTTTTTTTCCCAATTTTATTGGCAAATATCAGTGACTAAGTATTAGCAAAAGTACTTTATTTTTCATGTTATTGATCCTTTGTTTTAAAAATCTGCTTCTTTTGAAAACTATTATTCAAAATGCTTGCTTAGAACGTTCTGAAAATGAATTGACATAAATATTCAAAAATTTTGAATAAACAGTTTACATTTAAACCTCTTAAAGGGCGATGAGGGATGAAATGTCCCAATAGCCAAATCTTGGTAGTGAGGAATTATCATCGACCAGCTTTTAGCACGGGCGCCACTGTAGAATCATTACGTTATTTTGAATCAGAAGACAGGAAAAATCCGGAATTCCCTCGCCGGAACTTGAAGCCTGGACCTGACGAATACTCGTCGAGTATGATTCCAGTTGCACCACGAAGGCATGCGGAAAAGTGGGAGAAAATACCTTACAGACTCCCCCTTTAAAATGCTACTGGATATTAGGGAAACCAATAGTTAAAACCTGGTGGTGACAAATTATCGTCCACCACCCTTTTAGTTCGGACGCCAGTGTAGAGTAATCAGGATTTTTTTTAATACTGGAGACATGAAAAATGTGAAGTGCGCCCGCCGGGATCCGAACTCCAGATCTCTCGAATACACATCTAGAATGCTTCCAATTACATACCTAAGGGATGTGGAAAGGAGGTAAAAAATACATTATATACTCCCCCATTAAAGGGCAAGTGGGGATGAGGGGACCCAATAGTCAAACTTTGGTGGTGGCGAATTATCATCCGCCAGCTTTTAGTTCGGGAGCCACTGTAGAGTCATTAAATTATTTTGAAGCAGGAGACATGAAGAATGTGCAATACTCTCACCTGGACCTCTCGATTATGCGCCGAGTATGCTCCCAGTTACACTACAAAGGCATGCGCAAAGGAGAGAGAAAATATCCTATAACTTTATCTAAAATTATACTATTTATGCTTTTTCTAATGGATTCAACTAATAGTATTTTCGTGTAAGAATGCTTCATTCCTTCACTAGAATTTCTTACATGAGAGCATTTAAAGAAATATTACGTTTTCCAATTTCCTCTATACATGTTCGATAGGATTTAAATCCGAAGAATATGAAAGAGCTCCGATAACTTCAGGACTATTGTATAACAATCACAAGAAAACATTTAAAGTTGAGTGATTAGGATACTTATCCTGGTAGAACCTAAATGTATTTTGCATTCGAGGTTTTACACTCATGTCCATAAATTAAGGATAATGCAAAATCAGACAAAGGAAGAGTTAGAAGCAAAACAAATTTCACTTATTTGTAAAGCTTATTTATTAAACAAAAGGTAAAGAGAAAAAAAAAAAAAAAAGATGCTATATGTTTGATACTATTAAAAAAATTAGCGATTTTTTCTCCCTGGAGCAAATTACAAAAAAAAACCTATTTACAAAAAACCAATATTACATGGTTGGTATGATTGTTAATACATTGTATGTCTCACAGACGATGCAATACAGTCCGTACAACGCCTAGGCATGCTGAGAATCAAATTATCGATCTGATCTTGGGGGATATTACACCACTCAAAAAGCAATGCTCTCCGAAGTTCCGATAGACATGTAGGAGGAGGTTGACGGGCTGCAACTCGTCGGCCAAGCATGTCCCACACGGGCTCTACTGGATTCAAGTCCGGTGAGAATGCTGGCCAGTCCATACGGGTGATATCCTCCGATTGAAGGCATTCGCTTACGATGTTTTCACGGTGAGGACGGCCGTTGTCATCCATAAACACAAATTGTGCGCCCATGGCGCCCCGAAACAAACGTACATGTTGTTCCAAAATGACGTCCCGAGAGGTTTGGCTTGTCATGGTTCCAGTTTGAACATGCGGGTCAGTTCTGGAACCCAGAATAATTCCACCCCAAACGAGCACTCCTGCACCACCGTAACGGTGTCGTTCAATGACGTTTTGTTGGTGGTGACGGGTACCTATGGCTCTCCATATGAAAGTCCGGCGAGAATCAGACTGCCTGGACTCGTCGGAAAACATCACACAAGCCCACTGTTGCGGTGTCCATAATGCATGCTCTCTACTCCAGGATAACCGCAGGCGACAGCGAGTTGCAGTAAGTGGAACGCATCTGACAGGTCTACGAGCATATAGACCAATCTGCCTTAAGCGTCTGCACATGGTCTGCCTTGAAATTGTCATAACAGTGGCTGAAGAGAGCTGACGAAACAGCTCTGAGGCTGTTCTCCGCCTGTTTCTTTTGGCAGTAACTGCCAAATGCCGGTCCTCATTCGGCGTTGTAACTCTGGGGCGACCTGTGCTGTACCGTCTACTCACATTAGCATCATCTTGGAATCGTTGCCAAAGCCTGGAGATGACACTCTGGGCAGTTCCAAGTTCGTCTGATACTTCCAGTTGGGTACGCCCACATTCCAGACGGCCGATCATTCTACCACGTAAAACATCATCCAAATGCGTCCTTTGTGTCATAACTATTCGGTTATTGCACTGAAATGCTTATAAAGCGCCTGCGAACAATTTTACTTCTTTGCCTGTATTCCTTATATATCACTCTCTTACACTCTCGTCATTGTGACGTACCAACGGTGTCATCTGGTTACTTCCTGAAATTTGCATATGATTCTTGAAGATGTGTGTAGTGATTTTACAGGTGATATATTTATTTTAGAGTTCGATTTCAGCGTGACTCCGAATTATCCTTAATTTATGGACATGAGTGTATTTAGAATATTCATATATGTCAGAATATTTATTATTTTCTACAAAAGCCAAATTTTCCATCTCAGAATAAGCGAAACATTCCTAAACCTTTATGCTTTCACAGTGGTGCTTAACAGTAGGCAATAGGTTTGTAAACCTATTAGCAATAGGCAATAGGTTTGTAAACAGCTGGCAATAGGTTTTTAAACCTATTGCCTACTGTTATTTCTGTAGGCAAACAAATTATAAACTACTGTTATTACTGTAGGCAATAGGTTTATATGTTACTGATACATTCCTTTATTGGGTTTTCGCCCCACGGGCATTCATCTATCGGAACCAAGTATACTAAATCTTGACTTATCTACAAATTGCTTCAATGTAATAAATTCTTGCTTACCGTAAATTCTACGAATGCGATACTCATTTTCCTTATTTTCTTGTTGATGAAGAATTTCCTTCTTGCTGACCGCGTCTTCTATCCATGTTCCCCAATGACTGGTCTAACAATTTCAAGATTAACTTTTATTGTAAACCATTCTTATAAATTCCCTACAAGTTTTACAGCACTAATATTGGCTTTTGTTTGATTTTTCGTAGGATAAATCTCCGATTCCCTCGTGTTAGGTTAGAAAATGGTCCAGATTATAGAGCATTTTCAACAACTCCATATAGTTCCCATCATTTGATAGCGTCAAAAACAAATGAATATTTTACATGAAGAATGTTTGGGGTATTTCGAGTACTTTTAACTTCTTTAGCTCTTTTAGTGCCGGGCTAAGTATCGTATCTATGCGAAGAATAACGGGCCGATTTGACGAATAGGCTAAGGTTTCGGTAAAAGCTCATAAAAATCATACTAAGAATGATATTTATAAAATTAAAAAAGCAGCATATTACGAAATAAAGAAAGAATAAAGTAAAGCCAATTACATTTAAATATTTTTTGAAAATCATACGAATAACTTCAGTATAAAATATTTTAACTCTTTTAACGTTATAAATGGTCTAATGAAATAAGATCATTTATAAATTTTGTAATTTGTAAATTTATTTTGAAGTAGAGTTACAAATAACATCAGTATAAAATATTTTAACTCTTTTGCACTGAAATTAAACCATTTATAACGTTTCATAAATTTATTTTGAGATAGAATTATGCCGCAATGCGAATAGGAAGGCGCCATCGGGTACGCAATGATATATTGTTCGATGGCCAATTTCGCATGCGTTGCAAACTACGCTGTATCGTCTTTCGTCGTAAACAGGTGTAAAATGATGGATTGTTAAATGTTTTAGAGAACTTTTCGTTAATCTGTAGCGTTGCCATATTCTCTTCAGATACAAAATTATTAGTCCAAACGGGCTTTGTCCCTGAAGGACTATTGTTCCCGTTTTGCGATTTTGCGTCGAATCGCTATAAACGACGTATCACTTTTCATATTGTTGCCACCAAATGATAGAGTCCTGCATTATGTTTGAAGAAATTAAATCATGAAGAATCTGCATAAATGTATGTATGTTTCTAGCATTGTGATAAAACAACGGTACCTAGAGCCATCCAGTTTTGAATGACGTAATCCTACTGCGAATATGGGCATCTGAAAGCCCAAATTTGGAATACGGAATTTGTTTTATGATCCATTTCATATTTTGTAAAACTTTAACGAATTTTTGATTAACAAACTCAACGATTTAAAAGCCAGCAATGGCAACACTCTACGGGAGGGGGAACCTTTTTATCTCTAGCGCGCGGAACTGTGTATCGGAAATTCTAAAGATAGGCTCATTTTAAAATTATTTTGCCACATTGCTGTTGAACTGAATTTTATGGTTTAAGTGCAAAGAATATGATATTTAATAAATAAAGGTAACATACAAAACGTTAAAAACACGCCCCTTTGGAAGGTAATTTAAAATCTGAAACCTTTCAGATTTTATTTTTATTTTTTAATGTGTTTTTCTAAGCCAGTAATAAATTCCAAATGCAGACGATAATTCTTGTGATGTATTTTTATCTAACAAAAAAATTATAACAAGTAATATTATTTCCTAAAACATCAGACCAAAACTTTCGAATAAATTCAATAAATGTATTCGAATTTGAATAAATTTATTCGTTTTTGAATAAATTGTTTTATTACAAGAACATTTATTTACAAGTATGTTTTATTACTTGAATTAATTTGGAAAATACAAGTGCTCTAAAGCAAACGTAAGCCACCGTATCTTTCATTAAATTTCTTTCTAAAATTCTTGAATTTAAGTTGGTAATTTAATTGTAAAATAATCTAAAACTTTAATTGCAAAATCTTTATTTGTAAAATAATCATTGTGAAATAATCTAAAACAGAAAATTCGTTCGCAAATTGGATTTTGATGATAATATTTAAGAATTTTTGTTTTAAATTTGCTTTTGTAAAACATAAAAAAACATTTTACGAGCTAGAATTTTTTTATTCTACAGAGATTTATATAAAACTTCAAATTTCTCTTTCAAAATTCTGCCTATTCATGATAAATCTAGTTTTCATAGAATTCTTCCCTCTATTTTATGAAATTTTGTCACTCAATTACATAGTTTAGTATGTGTAAGTAATAAAGTCCTAATTGCCATTTAGTGCATCTTGTATATATAACCATTTATCACTGTCAAGATATCTGTCAAATGATGAATTTTTCTTCAATATTTCTTTGTAGGAGAAGCAGTACAGGACTGTATACCTGGAAGAAGAACAGGCAGAGAATGAAACATAAATTACTAGCTGTCCAAAATTGGGAATTCACGTATTTTTGCAGAAACACACTTATTTTTTTGAATCTGGATATATAAATTCGAACTCTTACTTCCAAAGCCAATGTGAAGAAATTAGAAATCGCAATTAACCAACTTAAAACGTATTTATATCGAATGCACTGTTTTATTTATCTTCGACATTCTACTATTACTATCAGCACACAAAATTCCTGAATGTTATATATGTCAGCTACAATTTTCATCTTATGTGTAGTGGCAACACTAATGAACTGCTATTTTTAGGTGTAGGATTTATTTTTTAGTCTTAGAATACCGTGTATCATCGTCTGCGATGTTTGTTTTAATTGTTTAAATCATTCGATATGCAGTAACTTTTGGAAAAGAACAAGAAAAATACATTACAAGTACGTATGAGCAGTTTTGCTAGAGCGCCTTCATTCATTTAAACATAGATCTCATTGTAATTGTGGTTTTAAGTGCATTTAGAAAAGTGTTATCTAATTTGTCTTAATCTGTTATTATCGTTTGAGAAATAGTTTGCATTTTTCAGTTCCTTTGAGTGTTAAGACAGCTGTATTGTAAATATTCTTTTGCTGAAATGATGAAAAATGATCAATTTGTTTGAAAGATTTAATGATGTCATTATTCTCTCGCAAAATTATACAGGAAATGTTTTAAGAATTATTTTACGAATCATGAATTTTTATTGAAAAAATTATTTCTTTTGACAGTTCCTCTTTGATTCCAGTATTCTGCTGTAAAATTATGTGCATTTATTGTAATATTTTATCAAAAACAAAATATCTAGTTATCTTAATAAATTCTTTCATTTTAAGAACTATCATTTACATCTTAGAATTATGTTTCATAAGTTCAGAAATTTTTAGAGAGCATAATTTTGCACAGAAAACTGAAATATTAATTTAAACTCAAATTGTGACATGTGCTGTAGAAGACTTTTCAACGAAGCGCAATTTTATTAATAATTTGCATTTTCTTCAATATAAATCATAAATTAGGAATATATTTTCATGTTTACCTTTTTTTTTTTTTTTTTTTTTTTTTTTTTTTTTTGAAAGTGCAAAGTATGGATGCTCTTTGATTTTAAATTAGTATACTCAGAATTAAACATTAAGAGGTAATATTTAACAAAGGTAGTCACATATAAAAATTTATTGATTATGTTTGTAATCACATAAGCTTTATTTTTAATCTTTTCTAGCTATCCAATTATATTTAAAAAAAATTTCATGCTTATCTTCAAATTCTAAGTTTTAAGAAAAGCAGCAGAAAACTTTAAAAGGAAATTCCTAAATAATCAAAATTTCAGATTTAATTTTGTTACATATAAGAATGACTATTTTTGTTTCAGTGTCTAGGTATGAAATCTAGGTATGAAAACACCTTACCCTTTAACCTTAGCAAATCTTACTATCACACTTGTTGAAACGCGTGAAGTGTAATTTAAATTTTTGCTTGTATATACTGAAATTATAGCTTGTAATGATGTACATATTTAAAAGGATGTTGAGAGGATTCAGTGCTTTATATCGTATAATTTTAAATATTTTATAATTTTCTTTTATTTTTTCATGATAGTTTTAATGATTGAATTTTGAGCGAGGAAGAACTGAACTTTGTGTGAAATTTTAAAGTACATAAAAATAATTTAAATAGAATTTTTAAGGAGCTTTTAGAATCTTTATCTAAACACTTCTTTAAATTCTATTCGATATCTTTTATTACGGTTTTATATTAGGAGTACAACACGATATGTAATATTTTAATTAACTTAATATTATATGAAATATTTTTTGAATAAATTAAAACTTTAATTTTTAAAAAATGAAAAATAAAAACGAATTCTGAAACAGAATTTAATTCTCAGCTTTCTAAAATCATAAATACACCTCAACTTTATAAACAGTGTATTGCCAGATGATAAACGCTTGAAGTATATGAATAATTAAGAGCAGTTTTCGTTTACTCTTTTACGCAAATACGACTTTTTTCACTCTGAATCGAGATACTTAAAGATGTGTTCATGTGTCAAAAACTATTTCTTACTGTTTCTACTTATAACAGATGCTTTTCTTTTTTATGACACTGACATTTGGCTTCTAATTGAAATACTATAAAAAAATAAATTATTATGCTGGAAGTAAAAATTTTATTTCGAATTGCACTATAAAATCAAGACAAAAAGAGCTTAAATTACTAAGAAAATTGACGATATACGAATACTGAAACAAAAAGTGCAGAAAAGCCCTTATCATGCAATTAAACGAGTATTGCCATCCTTGAAGAGATGCGACCATAATCAGAAGTATGCATGTGCAATCTAGACTAGACTAATAGAATCAACAACTAAGGTGGGTGGATGGGTGATCCGCAAGGTGAAATTTTTTTTTTTTTTTTTTTTTTTTTTTAAATCTTTAACTCGTCTTTTGGCTTAATCAAAGAAATACAAGTTGCTCATTAAATATGTAAAGCATTGCCAAAAGCAATATCGCCACACCCCCTTACGAAAGCGACAAGTAAAAGAGTATTTTTAAATCTCCTCCAATAATCATATATTTTCTCAATACAATAAAGGACCAAGCTATTTTTTTAGCGTACTAACAAGAGACTTCTTACAGTACAATTATTGCATGTGCTCTAAAAGATTCACGAAGAAATAGCAATTTTATAAATAATTTTCTTTTTTGAAGATGGTCATCAACACATGTTAGGAAAATTTTTATGATTGCCTCATTTTTGCAACTCCAAATTATGGATGCTCCTTTATTTTAAGCTAGAAACCCCATCAGTTGTTCTACATGGATATTGAAGTATATTATGGTTACTATAATTAAGGTAAACCATAAGCTAACGTAAGACTAAAAAAGCTTGCTTTTTTCATTAAAAGGTTGTAACCCAACATTTTTCGTAACAGGAAGAAGAAAAACACGTGAATGTCTTTTGCGAGGAACAGGACTGTATGAAAATGTTGATTGTTTCTATAGTTGCCTTGTGAGAAGGAAATGAGGTCACAAGATAGGGCTGCCTGTTAACGATATTACTGAGCTGCGTGATAAGGGCTTAACGGTAACCTTGGCGGCTTGCGTTTAATTAAAATCATAAAGGGTTTAATTTGCAACATTTTCGCTTCTGTTATTTTCACACAAATGTAATATGTTTTCCTCGCTGTGCATTGTATAGTTGTATAAATAGTACACTGCGGGTGAGTGACTGTCTAGTCAGTAAAAGTATTTTTTTATTTTCATTTTTTGGTTTTCTAAACTGACCTGTGAGAGGAACTGCTTCTTCCAGAGCCATATATTTTGAAATTATCAAGATAACTGTCGAACTGTTATTAATGAAATATTCTATTGAATCCATTTTGTTGTGCTTTGTATAGTTTGATTTTGCATTCCATAATAAAAAAAAAAAATATCTGTACGCGTATCTGTCTACTTATTTTCACAATACTCAGTTTTTCTTCTAAAATGTATTGTGACGGATTCGGTGAACTGTTTCGAAAAAAGGTGCCTTTAATCAATCATTTAAACATTAAATATCTATGTAAAAATTCTGATCTCTTATCATTAGGCAGTACGGCGATGCAGAATGAACATATGCATTAAATGAATATGCAGAATGAACATTACAAAACCAAAATTAATTTTCATTAAAAACGATAATTATTTAAGTTATTTTTTAGCCTGTTGACATCCTCTATTTTTATGTTTGTGCTTCCAGTAAGTATTTTTGCCAAAATCTCTGTCGGATTATCCTTACGAAGCAAAAGAATATATAGCTTTTGTCCGGAATAAATAGATTGGTGAAGAATCATAGATGTAGTCGTAGGTTAAATTATCAGACGATAAGTTTAAAAAAACAGGATCCATTTATTATATTTCAGGAGAAAATAGCAATTACAAAAATTAAGATCTCCGGAGTAAATAAAAAAGAATTACTAATAACTTTTTCTATGAAGTTTACTGCATCGTTTCATTAAAGAAGAGACCCCGATATTCCTTTGCGAGTCCTTTCATAGCCTCTGGAAATGCGGAGCTTCCAAGAAATGACGTCATCCTCGTCAGCCATTCCAGTTCGCTTTAAATATTTCCAGAACATTCTATAACTGTACGTGTAGAAAAGGCGGGAAAAACAACTTGACTACGGGGCTGTGAATTTAATCCCACGTACTTTCAAATAAGAGACCGTCGCCATTAAAAATGAAAAGAACATACAGTTAGAATTTTAAGTGTATTCTTGACTATGGAATTTTATTATTACATATATATATATTATGGCTACTACTAAATTAAACAAACTTAAGTGGGCAATATAACATAAAATACTTGAAGCGTGCAGTTTCAACAGAACGTGGTTAGCTATTACAAAACTGAAAGAAAAAGAATATGAAAGATTCAGATTTTAATGTCGTAAAAGATGATTTGTTAAGGTTTTTATATGCTCTCGCTGAGCATAGCATGTTATCAGTCTGCTCTTGGATTCACTTCTGCATTTACAATACAATTTGTATGTCTTTTTATCTTTATTATTAAGCATAATGTTATTCGCAGTTGCTCCGCATAAAACTGAAGTGCGAAACCACAAAATATTTAAAAACAGCATATCTTTAGAATTCCCACTTGTGTTAGTCGTTGCCCAACATTTCTTTATATTCGCTATATTGTTTCTTTCAAAACTAGATGAGAGAATAAGCCAGCCGCCTACGACAGTTAGAGTTTTATCATATCATAAAAAAAAAAAAAAACGTATATGATAATTTTAATCAATCCAGCTACTGTCATTTCATAAAAAATCATAAAAAATTTAAATGCATTTTAACTTAAATCAATCGGATTAAAAAGCCGAAAAGATATTTTTAGATCTCGCTGTATCGTCCTCATGATACGGAAGTGCTATGGAATGTTAGGCCGCTGAACAACCACCAATGCTGGTATTTACGGAATAAACCTCCCCTTCGTCACGTTTGTTTTGGATCTGGATCAAACTATAGTAACGGTTACTCGAGGGACTATCTACCTAAGAGCACGAATATTTTAATATTTTCGTGAAGGACATTTTACAGACTGGCTGCTATTCAAGTTTGCACACTGGGGAAAACTCAAAAACTCCCATGCAGCCAGCTCGTTCACCAGGGTTTAAACCAACACCCCCTAGAACTGAGTCCAGAGGGTGCTGTTTAAACCCGGATGAGTAACGTAACCAGACTGGGGAGAGCTTCCTCAGAAAGGGTAACATTTTTGCTGTTTGTGCCCTATTCCACCTATTTGTGCTGTTCAGTACTGATTATGAGCGCTATGGGTTGCTACGTCCTACTGTGTGGTCAGTATATATGCTGTTCCCGCCTCTGAATAAAATTCCCTTTATTCTTATTAGAACAGAGGGCTTTAATTTCGTTTTGGCATTTTGCGTTGAAAACTTTAAAAGGCTGCATCACTTTTCAATTGTTGCCACCAAAATATTATCTCCCTGTGTTATATTTAAAGAAATTAAATACTGAAGAATCTGCATAAATATATGCATGTTTCTCGCATCGTGATAAAACAGCGGTACAATGGAACCATCCAATTTTGAATAACGTAATCCTACACCGAATATGGGCATTTGGAAGCTCTAATTGGGAATTTGTTTTATTAGCTATTTCATATTTTTTTTAAACTTTAACGAATTTTTGATTAACAAACTCAAGTATTTCAAACCGAGCAACGGCAACACTGTACGAGGGAAAAAATTAATCGCTTGCACGCGAGACTGTGTATCGTAAATTCTAAAGGATATTCTCATTTTAAAATTGTTTTCTAATGTTGCTGTTGAATTGAATTTTATGGCTTAAGTGCGAAGAACATGATACTTAATAAAAAAGGTAATACCCAAAACGTTAAAGAAAAAGCCCCTTTGGGCGTAATATAAAATCTGAAAACTTTCAGATTTTTTGTACACTTTTTCTTTGCTGTTTGTTGTTGAATGACTACTTTATACGTTAATTTAGAAATCAAACAACAAAAATCAGCGTTATATTTTCAAATTCAATTTACTGTGAAAATTTGAAAATGTAACGCTGTTTTTTGTTGTTTGATTTCTAAATTAATATTTGTTCTGCGTGTTATTGTACCTTAATTACTTTATTCGTATTTACAGAAATATTGTCGCATCGCTACTGATACTGCCAGATGCTCAACAGTATTTCGTTGCATGGTCAGGTTGTGATAAATAAACACTCACTTTATCTTCTAGGCCAGCCGGACCTGCCGGCTGGGCGGTAAAGTCGCTGATCGGTCCAGCGTTCGAACATCGGAGGACGGGCTGGTTGCATGGGCGTTTTTGTGATTTCCCCTCCCCCGTATACGTTTATCAACCCAGTTTCCCTTAAAACGTCCTCCACGTAGATATCCCTCCCCTTAAGCAGGTAGCCCTAGTGGGCTTTGCGATAATGAAACTAAAAAACCAACCTTCTCCTCTGTTGCACTAAAACGAAAGCTAATCGAACTTTTCTAATGTAATTTTCATTAGCAGTGTCCCCCAACTTAATAAATATTGGGTACTTTCATTTATGTAATAAAATATGCGTAAAATACTGTTTGTAATAAATCTGCCCTATTCTAGGCTGCCGGAGCCCGTTCAAAGTGGAGAAAAATCTAAAAAAGAAGTAAATTATATTGATTAATTCATATCGTTGTATTTATAAAATTATGAATTAATTAGCTATAAAATTACAAATAAGTTTATAAAATTATGAACAAATAGCAAATAATGTAAGAAGGGAATTTTTTTTTTCCTTAGTTTTTTTGTAATACTGTTAAGAGAAAGAACATTTTAAAATAATTGGAAAATTATAGGATTCGAAATGACGTGACTGGTTGTAAAAATGTCAAAAGGGGAAATGAACTGTTTTGAAGCCACGTGAATATTGATTTATTGTAAGTTACCAAATGCGCAAAGAGTTAATGAAAGAATCAACATAAACAGTTTAGGAATGCCATGGATCGTTTAAATAACTGCTATAACATACATACTCATTCAAGCTTATTCAATAAATTGCACCATGCTGAGTTAAAGTAAACGATTCAATAGTTTTAAAGTTTTAAATAAAAATTGTTTTACTGGTATGTGGAAATGTAATTTCTGATTTGTTTATTGAATAAAATCTTTCAATTTTGTGCTGAAATCAGGCATCTTGTGGGTCGTTTTGATGCATATCTCGGTCGGTTAAACGAATCATCGCTTTAGAGAAAAATAAATACTTATATTTATTTATGTTTTAAGAAAATATCCTGGTCGCTTTTAAAGGTGGTTACCAAAAAAGGCCAAGAATGGTTGCCGAAACCTCAAAGAAGTTGGACTTTCGAAGGTCTTCAAGGAAGTTGGACCCTAGTTTTGAGGGTTGCCTCTCCCCTACCACCAAGCCACACGAGAGGACTTTCGGCTAGCCATATATTTAGAGTGACCCTATGCTGGAGGTGGGAGAGGAGGCAGTATAAACATTCACCACCAGGATTCGAACCCTGGCCTTCCCTAGTAGGCTTTCCTAGTCACTATACCATCTGGGCGGTGTCTCAAACCGTGTTATGTTTTTCTCACCTTGCTAAAAAAATAGCGAGCTATCAAAATAAGTAGTTATTGCCAATCCAATGCTAGATATATCATTTGTATTTAGAACAATAAGAGTATTTTGCTTACTAGTAGAAAAAAAGAGAACAACTTAAAAATAATATATAGTCATTAATAATTTGAAACATTTTGTTGGCAATAAGATTAGAGAATATTTTATTGCTTTTGTATGTATAGGAATATTATGGCTTTCAAGTAATAAAGGATTTAATTGAAAAAGAACCATATATTAATCGTCTTTGATAAAAAAATATTTCATAGTTATGTACAAAAAGCTACATTATTATAGCTCCATAATTTTCAACTGCACAAATAATGTAAATGAATTTAGCGTAAGAAACAATACCCGAATACAAAAGATCTCATCTGTCATTCAAATATCTGCATCAGGATCGGATTAAGACTTTTAGAGTCCTAAGCACTTAAAAGATTTTGATGCTTCCACATAAATTTACGTCTGTTTTTACTTCCTTGTACGAAGTAAAAAAGGAAGTATTGTAATCGCGAAAAGTTTCAGGCAACATATTTCAAAGAAAATATCCATTTTGACCGCTATCGAATGCAATTCAACGATGTTTTTGCATGATATCTGTACGTAAGGACAGAATAAAAGACTCTTTTCCTTCAAAAAAATTATAAAACTGCTTTAAAATTAATTCTGAAGAGAATTTTTCGTGGCGTCTGTACGAAAGTATGTACGTACGTATCTCGCATAACTCAAAAACGAGTAGCCTCAGAACGTTGAAATTTTGTATATAGGACTGCTATAACATGTAGATGTGCACCTCGTATTTTGGTTGCAATCGGCCGCACCA